CCACTCACACACTCAGACACTCACCACTCAGACACTCACCACTCACACTCAGACACTCACCACTCACACACTCACCACTCACACTCAGACACTCACCACTCAGACACTCACCACTCACACTCAGACACTCACCACTCACACACTCACCACTCACACTCAGACACTCACCACTCAGACACTCACCACTCACACTCACCACTCAGACACTCACCACTCACCACTCACACTCAGACACTCACCACTCAGACACTCACCACTCACACTCAGACACTCACCACTCACACTCAGACACTCACCACTCACACTCAGACACTCACCACTCACACTCAGACACTCACCACTCACACTCACCACTCAGACACTCACCACTCACACTCAGACACTCACCACTCACACTCAGACACTCACCATTCACACTCACACTCAGACACTCACCACTCACACTCACACACTCACCACTCACACTCAGACACACACACTCAGACACTCACCACTCACACTCACACACTCACCACTCACACTCACACACTCACCACTCACACTCAGACACTCACCACTCAGACACTCACCACTCACACTCAGACACTCACCACTCACACTCAGACACTCACACTCAGACACTCACCATTCACACTCACACTCAGACATTCACCACTCACACTCACACACTCACCACTCACACTCACACACTCACCACTCAGACACTCACCACTCACACTCAGACACTCACCACTCAGACACTCACCACTCACACTCAGACACTCACCACTCACACTCAGACACTAACCACTCACACTCAGACACTCACCACTCAGACACTCACCACTCACACTCACACCACTCACCACTCACACTCACCACTCACACTCAGACACTCACCACTCACCACTCAGACACTCACCACTCACACTCAGACACTCACCACTCACACTCAGACACTCACCACTCACACTCACACCACTCACCACTCAGACACTCACCACTCACACTCAGACACTCACCACTCACACTCACACACTCACCACTCACACTCAGACACTCACCACTCACACTCAGACACTCACCACTCAGACACTCACCACTCACACTCAGACACTCACCACTCACACTCAGACACTCACACTCAGACACTCACCATTCACACTCACACTCAGACACTCACCACTCACACTCACACACTCACCACTCACACTCACACACTCACCACTCACACTCAGACACTCACCACTCAGACACTCACCACTCACACTCAGACACTCACCACTCACACTCAGACACTCACCACTCACACTCAGACACTCACCACTCAGACACTCACCACTCACACTCACACCACTCACCACTCACACTCACCACTCAGACACTCACCACTCACCACTCAGACACTCACCACTCACACTCAGACACTCACCACTCACACTCAGACACTCACCACTCAGACACTCACCACTCACACTCAGACACTCACCACTCACACTCAGACACTCACCACTCACACTCAGACACTCACCACTCAGACACTCACCACTCACACCACTCACCACTCACACTCACCACTCACACTCAGACACTCACCACTCACCACTCAGACACTCACCACTCACACTCAGACACTCACCACTCACACTCAGACACTCACCACTCACACTCACACCACTCACCACTCAGACACTCACCACTCACACTCAGACACTCACCACTCACACTCACACACTCACCACTCACACTCAGACACTCACCACTCACACTCAGACACTCACCACTCAGACACTCACCACTCACACTCAGACACTCACCACTCACACTCAGACACTCACCACTCACACTCAGACACTCACCACTCAGACACTCACCACTCACACTCACACCACTCACCACTCACACTCACCACTCACACTCAGACACTCACCACTCACCACTCAGACACTCACCACTCACACTCAGACACTCACCACTCACACTCAGACACTCACACTCAGACACTCACCATTCACACTCACACTCAGACACTCACACTCACACACTCACCACTCACACTCACACACTCACCACTCACACTCAGACACTCATCACTCAGACACTCACCACTCACACTCAGACACTCACCACTCACACTCAGACACTCACCACTCACACTCAGACACTCACCACTCAGACACTCACCACTCACACTCACACCACTCACCACTCACACTCACCACTCACACTCAGACACTCACCACTCACCACTCAGACACTCACCACTCACACTCAGACACTCACCACTCACACTCAGACACTCACCACTCAGACACTCACCACTCACACTCAGACACTCACCACTCACACTCAGACACTCACCACTCACACTCAGACACTCACCACTCAGACACTCACCACTCACACTCACACCACTCACACTCACCACTCACACTCAGACACTCACCACTCACCACTCAGACACTCACCACTCACACTCAGACACTCACCACTCACACTCACACACTCACCACTCACACTCAGACACTCACCACTCAGACACTCACCACTTACACTCAGACACTCACCACTCACACTCAGACACTCACCACTCACACTCAGACACTCACCACTCAGACACTCACCACTCACACTCACACCACTCACCACTCACACTCACCACTCACACTCAGACACTCACCACTCACCACTCAGACACTCACCACTCACACTCAGACACTCACCACTCACACTCAGACACTCACCACTCACACTCAGACACTCACACTCAGACACTCACCACTCACACTCAGACACTCACCACTCACACTCAGACACTCACCACTCACACTCAGACACTCACCACTCACACACTCACCACTCACACTCAGACACTCACCACTCACACTCACATACTCACCACTCACACTCAGACACTCACCACTCACACTCAGACACTCACCACTCAGACACTCACCACTCACACTCAGACACTCACCACTCACACTCAGACACTCACACTCAGACACTCACCATTCACACTCACGCTCAGACACTCACCACTCACACTCACACACTCACCACTCACACTCACACACTCACCACTCACACTCAGACACTCACCACTCAGACACTCACCACTCACACTCAGACACTCACCACTCACACTCAGACACTCACCACTCACACTCAGACACTCACCACTCAGACACTCACCACTCACACTCACACCACTCACCACTCACACTCACCACTCACACTCAGACACTCACCACTCAGACACTCACCACTCACACTCAGACACTCACCACTCAGACACTCACCACTCACACTCACACCACTCACCACTCACACTCACCACTCACACTCAGACACTCACCACTCACACTCAGACACTCACCACTCACACTCAGACACTCACACTCAGACACTCACCATTCACACTCACCACTCACACTCACCACTCACACTCAGACACTCACCACTCACACTCAGACACTCACCACTCACACTCAGACACTCACCACTCAGACACTCACCACTCAGACACTCACCACTCACACTCAGACACTCACACTCAGACACTCACCATTCACACTCACACTCAGACACTCACCACTCACACTCACACACTCACCACTCACACTCACACACTCACCACTCACACTCAGACACTCACCACTCAGACACTCACCACTTACACTCAGACACTCACCACTCACACTCAGACACTCACCACTCACACTCAGACACTCACCACTCAGACACTCACCACTCACACTCACACCACTCACCACTCACACTCACCACTCACACTCAGACACTCACCACTCACCACTCAGACACTCACCACTCACACTCAGACACTCACCACTCACACTCAGACACTCACCACTCACACTCAGACACTCACACTCAGACACTCACCACTCACACTCAGACACTCACCACTAACACTCAGACACTCACCACTCACACTCAGACACTCACACTCACACACTCACCACTCACACTCAGACACTCACCACTCACACTCAGACACTCACCACTCAGACACTCACCACTCACACTCAGACACTCACCACTCACACTCAGACACTCACACTCAGACACTCACCATTCACACTCACGCTCAGACACTCACCACTCACACTCACACACTCACCACTCACACTCACACACTCACCACTCACACTCAGACACTCACCACTCAGACACTCACCACTCACACTCAGACACTCACCACTCACACTCAGACACTCACCACTCACACTCAGACACTCACCACTCAGACACTCACCACTCACACTCACACCACTCACCACTCACACTCACCACTCACACTCAGACACTCACCACTCACCACTCAGACACTCACCACTCACACTCAGACACTCACCACTCAGACACTCACCACTCACACTCACACCACTCACCACTCACACTCACCACTCACACTCAGACACTCACCACTCACACTCAGACACTCACCACTCACACTCAGACACTCACACTCAGACACTTACCATTCACACTCACCACTCACACTCAGACACTCACCACTCACACTCAGACACTCACACTCAGACACTCACCACTCACACTCACCACTCACACTCAGACACTCACCACTCAGACACTCACCACTCACACTCAGACACTCACCACTCACACTCAGACACTCACACTCAGACACTCACACTCAGACACTCACACTCAGACACTCACACTCAGACACTCACCACTCACACTCAGACACTCACCACTCACACTCAGACACTCACACTCAGACACTTACCATTCACACTCACCACTCACCACTCACACTCACACTCAGACACTCACACTCAGACACTCACCACTCACACTCACCACTCACACTCAGACACTCACCACTCAGACACTCACCACTCACGTGGTGCCACTGTTTCACCGAATCTCCACTCGTGCCACCCTCCCTCTCGCCCCCCACTCGCCCCCCCCCCAACCTCACCCTCCTCGTTCCCCTCCCTCCCCGCCCTCCCTCTCTCTCCCCGCCACAGGCGCGTACGACAGCGTGCGCCAGCTGCACGCCGACTCGCTGGCGGCGGAGTCGCGAGCCAACGCCTCCGTGACGGGCTCCGGGAGCCCGCTGGGCCGCTCGGCCGACGCCCGCTCGCGAGCCCGGGCGCTGCTCGACGCCTCGCGCGACGAGTTCCGCCGCAAGAGCGCGGCCGGGCGCGACGCGCTGGAGACGCTCGCCGACGACGTGCGTTCGCTCAGCCTGCGCACCGTCAGCGAGAAGGTGCGACTCCCGGTGGGGGCCGGGCGGCGGGGGGGCGCCGCCCCGCCGGGTACGGGCGACGAGGTAGCCCCTGGGTCGGGGTGGGTGGACGCCCGAACTCGCGAAGGGAGGTCGGGCCGACGAGGGGTCGGACGGACACTCGGACGGATGTAGGTCGGAGGGAACGGAGGACGGAGGTCAGATGGGCGAGTCGGACGGATAGATGGTCGCACGGGTGAACGACGGTTCGGATGGTGGCCCTGAAGGACGGAGGTCAGAGAGACGGCCTGATATGGGGCCGGACGGATGGACGGACGGAAGTGGGATGGGCGGAATACGGACGGACGATCGGATAGATGGAAGTCAGACACACGGACAAACGGGCTGTCGAACAGAGAGATGGAGGTCAGATAGACTGACAGAGAGGGGATAGACGTACAGACAGACAGGACGGTCACACAGACGGATGGACAGTCACGTGACTATACTCAACGCGGCTCACGTGCCTGTGCTTCGCTGAGCGTCACGTGACCGAGCACCGCTGCCTCCCCCTCCCCCAGGTGTGCGGCTCCCCAGGTGACGAGCCGTGCTCGGACTCCCCGTGCGGGGGGCCCGGGTGCCGGGACGAGGACGGCTCCCCGCGCTGCGGGGGCCTGGGGTGCAACGGCGCCGCCACGGCCGCCGCGGAGGCGCTGGAGCGAGCGCGCAACGCCGACCTGGAGATCCAGCAGGCCGCGGCGCAGGTGGAGGAGCTCAACAAGCAGGTGCGGCCGGGGGAGGACAGGGGGGGGCGGCGGAGGGGGAGTTTGGGGGGGCGGCGCTCCCCTCCGCCGGGAGGTCGCCGTGTCCCTCGTCGTCGGGTCGTTCGGTCTCTGCCGCTGCCCCCGGCAGCCTGGAATTCCCCACCCCCCCCCCCCCCCCGAGCCACCCGTGCCGGTGACTCCCCATGCCCAGGCTCGAGGCGCCGGCACACAATGGTCCACTCGCTTCCGAGTGGCCGCGCGAGACCTTTTACGTCCACCGTGAGCAAAGCGGACGGCGCGTTGAATATTTGACGGTTGTTGATACCACACCGCGGTATTAACCGAGGCGGCCGGCCGGATTTGAACCGTGAACCTCGGCAGCAAGCGGCGAGTTCGCCCGCCGCGTGGACCCGTTCATGCTTCTTGCGACGGTTTTGCTTTGCACCTCTCCGCGCCGTGCCCTCTGACCCCGCGACCGCCGCCCCCCCCCTCCCACCGGGCAGGTCCAAGATGCGCGTGCGAGGTCGCACCAGGCCCGGGGGCAGGCGGAGGCGGCGCTGGACAGAGCCAACGGGACGCGGGAGCGCGCACAGCGCGCCAACGCCCAGCTCCGCGCCCTCATCCAGCAGATCAAGGACTTCCTGCAGCGTGAGTCGCCGTGCCCCCGTACTTATCCGTACCTCACCGCGCCGGTCGCGAGCGGGGGTGTTGGCGAAGGGGGCCCAGGCTCACGACCCGTTCAGATATCGCTCGCCACTGATGCCGACCGTGGCCGGGAATGGAACTTAGTTCCCCCCCCCACTCCCCACTTCCTCCACCCCCCTAAGTGCCCCAGCAGAATCAGAATCTGTTTTTATCCTGGAGACAATCCGATGAGTTATGAAGCTCTTTTCCATGAGTACGCGCTGCCGATTCTCACGTCGTTCCAAAAAAATGTCGGAAAACGCAAAATGTCGGACGGTTCAAACCAATCTGGTTTCGTTGACGTCAGCTGTTACTCCGCTCGAAGCTGGCGCCACGCGTCGCCGCGTGGCACCGCGTGGCGCCGCTGGTGTGAGTGCATCTCACGTCGTGTAAGTGATCGCAACCCCCCGGAACGATCCCAAACGTTCTTAAAAATCCGAATAAAAAAATCTAAATCCCATCCCTAGTGTTCGGCTCAGGGTAATTCACATCGCACGGAATGGGATTACAGGCGACGTGAAGTAGGTGTCATTTCAACATTTGTTGTTAACTGTTTCCATTACCACCACCACCGTCACCATCATCATCATCATCGTCCCTTCTAGCCGTGACCGTGTCCTACCCACAGCCCACTTCACGCCTCTTAGCAGTCACTGCGGTGATGTCTCTCCGAACTTGCGTGGTGTTCTCTATTCCACGTGTTCCTCTCTCCCCCTCTATAAAACTACTATGAACTAGTTTTATTTGACCAGGTAAGGCCCACTGAGCTATGTAGCTCTTTTTCAGAAGAGACCTGGCCATCACAAATGATAGCTCAATGAAGAGGCTTACCGTGTGGAGATTGATAGCAGCCAAATACTCAACGCATGTTTCTTAATGTGGAGGGAAAGAGACAAATCCACGGGGAGAACATGCCAACTCCAGATAAAGAGGCGTCAGGGTCAGGATCGAATCCCCGACTTCCTGCATACCAGGCGATGGAGATAACATCACTCCTCGTCATTCTTCACGAGCCTCTCTCCGCGACCCTCACCTCCGCTCTCCTGCCTCACTCCCGAATCTCTCACCATCCCTCTACCCCCTGTCCACCGTAACTCCTCGCCCATGCTTCTCCGTCAACCCGCGTGCAGAGGACAGCGCCAGCCCCGACGACATCGAGCTGGTGTCGAACCGCGTGCTGGAGCTGAGCGTGCCGGCGTCGGCCGAGCAGACGCACGAGCTGGCGGCCGAGATCAAGCGGCGCGTCGCCGACCTCGCCAACGTCGACGCCATCCTGGAGCAGACAAGCGGCGACATCGCCGACGCCAACAGGCTCCTGCAGGAGGCGCGCGATGCCAAGTGAGGGCCGATGCCGCGATAGACGGTCGACGACCGGACGGCGGGCGCTGCCGTCCGTCGTCATGGCGCAGGGTGCTCGTCGCGACGTGTTTGGCACGCGGGGGGGGGGGGGGGGGGGCAGCAGCGTCGCTGTGCCGCGCGTCGTCCCGGGGGAGGAGTTTGCGGAGTACATTTTTTTAACTTTGGCAAACTCGGACCGCGACGCCGGCACGCGGTAATCGACCAGGAGCGGCCAGCCGGTCGCCTAGCCGCGGACCTTCTGCAACACGCGGCGAGCGCTCGGCCGTGTCGCCGCCAACAACGAGGAACGCGACGCCGAGCGACGGGCGGAGAGTCGTGGGAGCGACGCGACGGCGCAACCGGCACGCAGCGACCCCGCGATCCACAGCCACGCATTTTGCACTTCTGCCCGCGCGTGGGCATGCGTACAATGTGTACACGCGTGTTGTTGTGCGTGCGCACGCGCGTGTTCGCAGGACGCGTGCCGATGACGTGCTGGCGACGGCGGAGGGAGTGAAGGGGGCACTGGAGGACGCGGAGATGGCGCAGAAAGCGGCGCAAGAGGCGATCAATCAGGCGAAGGGAGACATCCAAGGGGCGCAGAACACACTCGCATCGGTCAGCACATGCACACACACACATACACACATAAAGACAAATATAAAGATCCCCGTATAGCCTGAACAGACTGTTGGGGCAAGTGCTGTTAGTGAGCACGGGTCACAAATGACAGCTCAACGAAGTGGCTTATCATTTCGTGGACATTTATAGCGGCCAAATACTCTAAAAGCACGTAGATTCTGAACGCGGAGGGAAAAACCGGAGGAGCCGGAGAACAATTCCGCACAGCCGTCAGCATTGGCATCGAACCCACGACCTCCTGTATACCAGGCGAGGCAGGTAACATCTCCTAGCCACCGCGGCATTGCCACGTTCCTCCGTCCTCTCCCCCCAACCCCCGCTCCCACCACCCCACGTTCAGATCGCGTCGGAGACGGACTCCGCAGAGCAGCGTCTGCGCGAGGCGGCGGAGCGAGCGGCGCGGATCGACGACGCCGTCGCGGCGCTCAAGATCAAGAGCAGCCAGGCCGCCATGGCCAGCACGCGCGCCGACAAGGCCGCGGGGAACGCCAAGCTCCGCGCCGACGAAGCCAAGCAGGTGCCGACCCCAGCTCCGTGGGCGGCGGTCGCCGCGGAGGCCGCGGGGGCGAGGTTGTCGCCACGGTCGGGCGGCGTTCGCGGTTGTCGCGGTTAGTTTCGGTCGTGCCATTCACGTCGGTGCCATCCCCCCTCGCGCCGCACCATCTCCTCTTCTCTCCGCGTGTCCCCCCCTCCGCCGGTCGCCAGATCCTGGGCGGGGAGCTGAGGGAGAAGTTCGGCTTGCTGGAGACGCAGGCTCGCAGCAAGGCTGACGGCGCCACCACGGCGCGCCAACGAGCCGAGGCCCTGCGCGATCAGGCCCGCAAACTCCTCACCGGTGCACAGGACAAGCTGCAGAGGCTCATGGGTAATTTTATCTTGCTGATGCTGCTGGCACCCCAAGGCGCTTTGCTCTGCAGATGTGTGAGGAATTTGCTGCGGTTTTACCGTTGCTTTATAGATTTGGGTGGTTTCGGAAATTGTGTTTTTTAGCGGGCCAAGTGGCCCAGCGGTAGAACGGGCGGCTCAACATGGAAAGGTAGCGAGTTCAAATTCTGTTTGGTAGTAGTTGACTCAGCCCATCATTCCTCTGGGGTCGATACAATGGGTACCTCTTTGTGGGCTATCGCCCCAAACTAAACTTCTCTCCCACTGTACAATGGATCCAGCACCAGGAGCCTGCCGCGGCTTAGGAGGCACTGGTTATTTTTTTCCACTGAAGTAACAGAGCCATTCCGCTGATATACGCCATGTGTGGCGTCGATGCGGTGATGCCTACACTCACACACACGCTCAAACTGAACTCACACGTACACTTACTCAGACAACAGCCACCATTTGCCACTAAATGGCGGTGACGTCACCACGGCGCTTGTGCCAGGCTAAGTGCGCTTTGAGGCCACGTGAAGTGTCAAAGGCTCGCTGTTGGCAGGTCACTGTGCTGACTAGCGCGTGTGCTCCCCACTGTGTTAATTTGCTGCATTTTAGCCACCCAGCGCTCCACTCATTGTTGTGAGCGTCATTCCTTTGCCCTCCGTTGCTGTTGGTCGGCAACTGCCTCCACTTGTCCAGTAGCATCTTTCACGAGCCTCCTCAATAGAGGTCGATCTTGACACTGCTCGTACCAGTCATCAGCAAGTGCACTCAGCCCCCACATCCTTCTGTACCACAACACCCCATCTCTTCTCCAGCCCGTGCCACTCCCGTTTAGGCCCTTCTATCCGACCAAACAGAAGCCAAGGATCTGTGAGCTCCTCACACAATACAGTCTGGTCAAACCCAGAATGGATCATAGGCAGGCTAGCCTCAATGTTCCAAACAGGGCGCACACACTCGCTCTCCTTAATTGATGTTGGATTCTCTTCACTTGTTTTGACGTTGCACGCATTGAACGCACCGCTAGCCCCGCCCCTGGCTCTGCTTGGCTCCGAGCCAGATTTTGAGGCCAACGAGTCACGGCTTGGATCTGGCTCGCCACGGCAAAGAGCCGGTGGAAAACCAGGCCGCATCGTGCGCGATGGCCCCGCCCGGGGTGAGCAGCTCGGCTGCGATTTGCTGAGCGACGATGCTACAACATTGTTCCCCGTGTGTCCCGCCTCACCGGCGTCGCCCTCGTTGCACGTGGGAGCAGACCTGGAAGAGCAGTACGAGAGGAACGAGCAGGCGCTGGAGGAGAAGGCTCGCTCGCTGGACGGACTCGAGGAGAAGATGCAAGCCATCCTGCACGCCATCAACCGCCAGATCACCGTCTACAACACGTGCCAGTGATCGGCGGCACGCACACACTCACCCACACACACACACACGCACGTTCCCACGCGCAATAGGCATGCAATGATTCAGGAATCCGTCACTTTGATTTCGTAAAACGTTTTATGCGAAGGTTTGTGTTGGGTTACGGTCATTACGCGTGAGATGGCACGAACTGGATGGACGATTTGAGATCACAAATGAGACGGAAGAATTGAGACGGATAAAAAAAACAATCAGTTGGTGAGAACCGCATCGTGACGGCGAACTCGTACAATTTATCAAATCGCGGGGGAGGTGGGGTAAACTGTTACATGCCGACTGCGCGCACACGCATGTTCACGCATTCGCGCACGCACACACGTGTGCACGTGCTCTCGCAGGAACGCACGCGCGCGCGATTCGGTTTTGTTGCGGGAGAAGTCCAGATTTGTTTCGCCCCAGTGCCTTCATCAGGTGACCTCAAGGCTCCGTTAAACCAGCTATGTTTAGCAGCCACACCAATCAGCACGGCGATCCCACGGATGTTTACCAAAGCGGTCCGTTTGGGCGGTCGAAAAAAAAATGTGCCCGGCAGTCGACCATTTGGCATAGAGCAGTCGGTGGGGTAATTGGCAAATTAGCTGGTTGCCAAGCAACGCCAACGGCAAAGCATTATGGGAAGGGACGTGTTGGGTCGCTCTGATTGGTGGGATGCTCGTGGCTGCTCAGTGCGTAGACATTTGAGCGCTGCTCCTCGCTTTGTGCCTTTTCACCGTTACAATCCACAGCCAGCTGCCTGGGTGACCGAATAGAAAAGTGAGCAACACAATGTATCACGTAGCTGTTTATGCAGCCATAACACCAGGATTCAGAAATGATATTTGTGTGAGGCCCACGTGACGATCTGGCCACATTTGTGTCGTTAGGTGGCGGGGAGGGTGTTACCGACACAAATGTGGCCAGGTCATCACGTGGCCAAACCCAAAAATCAATTACAAATCGTAACAAAACAATCATGAACAACAACGTAAAACATACAGTGTGCACTATCATCACTAAACACACTTGTCGACCGTACAGTTCGCACACAAACACGTGGGTAGCCGTGGCCCGTTTTGCGGGTGCACTGTATAAGTGTCCACTCGGATGCCGCGGGTTTGGCGCTTGGACCCGGCGGCATCTTCTCACTCAACCAGCGCCACCACCACCAGCACAACAATCACCGCGGCCCGGTCCACGCCGCGCGGTTCGCACAGAGCGACCGTCGTCGATGTCGCCGCTCGGGCGTCAATGGAGACGGAGTGCGTCGCTTGAGTCCCAGTTTAAGCGCGGGCAATGACGACCCGCGTGGAGGCTGTGAATTTCACGTCGCCATTCTCCCTTAGTCTGGCTGACTAATGCCAAACGTTGAGTTAAACGCTCAAGGGGAATAGATTGTGGTGTGAGGGGCGCGCAATTCCCCCTTCGTTATCGTCAGGTCAGAAAATCCACGAACCCTTGTCAATCTCTTCATAGAGTCATCCTATGACTGCAATTAAAGAGCCGCGCACCCCGTGGAATATATTCGTCACTACTTTCGCCGATGAGATGAACACCACCAATCGTGTCACTCTGCCACCACTCGCTCGACGATCCCAGCGAAGGTTTCGCGGCCGACGGCTTTCCAAGCCAGCGCCGAATGTGTTGCTCTGTGAGAATCGCGAACTGTGGAACCTCTACGCTTGAACCTGCCTCCTAAGCCTCCACCGCGTGCCCCCCCCCCCCCCCCCGTGTAAACGCAGTCAGAAATGCCAATACGCAAAGGTGCGCGCTGCCCACAAACGGCAGGAAAGGCGCGACTCACATCCAAGTGCCTTGGGCGTGGGGGCCTTGTCTCTCTGCGTGTTGTGGTTTCTGGTTCGGGCCTGCACGCGTTTCCCTGTCCCGATGGGTGCCCCAGCGGTGGAGAGCTGCATCTGATTGGGAAAACACGCGTCGCGCGCGGAGGCTTGAGACGCACGCCTGTAGGGTTTTAGCTGTAGCTGTAGTGCGGAAGCGTCCTGACCTGGCACGGCTTCACTCGACCCCGGAGAGGAGGAAAGATCCCCTTGCCTCAAACGGCCATAACAACCTGGGCACGCCTGCCTAGGGCCTCGCCTGCTTGTGTTGGGGCCTAGTCGAGATGTCTATCTTGTTGGGGCCTGGAATTGGCGATGTTGGGTCCAATTTGCCCTAAAGCATTTGATTTTTGTTAAAAATTCCTACCTCAATCGATGGCACCGAACAGAAATTGGTAATTGAACACGTAGGCTTTGGCGACCAATATTCATAATAAAGGTTTTTGGGTTAGATCACGTAAGTACAAATGTGTCGTAACCCTCCACCACCCAACACAGCCAGTAAGGGATTTGTCACGTAAACAATACGCCAATTAGTTACTACTTCAGCCCACCGGTGTGTTGGAGAGTAAATCCACAACATTTACAATTTTAATACGACCTTTCACTGTGTGCAGAAATTGGTAATATGCAAAGAAAATTTCCCCAAAATGTTGGCAACTTTCGACCTGCTATGCCGGGGTGAGCGGGGCGGGGGCATTTTTGTTTGTTCCTGCGATAGGTCCCGTTATTTTCGTTTGAAGGTGGCAACCCATCGGCACGCATCAACCACTCATGCCCCATTCACCGTCGTCGCTAAGAGTTGACGATGGTGAGTGGGGCATTCCACGGCGGCGGTCGGACACCGATTTTGAGAGTGGCGGGACGCGGGTGCCAGGTCAGGGCGCGGTTATTGCGGTCGAACGTCAACATTTGCGGTTGCTGATGGTCACCGGAGTGTGTGGGGTTTACCCATCTGTTTTCGTGGTGACCAGGTAATGGACCTGTCACCTGGGTAACCAGGTGATGGGTCTATCGCTTGATTAAGCAAGCAATAAGTTTTGCTGCCTGGGTGATGGGTCTGTTGCCTAGGTAACCAGGTAACGGATCTGTCACCTGGGTAATGCTCCTGTCACCTTGGTAAGCGGGCAACTCATGTGTCACCTGGGTAAACAGATGATGGATTTGTCAACTGAACTCGGTAATGCGTCTGTTAAATTGTTAACGTGGTGCACACCCGGTGAGCAGTGAGCTTTCACCGTCAGCGCTGGCGCGGTCGCAATAAAAGCAAAAATGAGCAATCAGCGGCTGGACCCTTGCTGCTGTGAGCGCGGCGCTGCGAGGTGGCCGCGTGGTTGGTTCATCGTCTCGCGACGATGCCGACGGCCAGGACCGGCATGCGAATGTAGCCAGGTAGGGGCTCTGTCGTCTAGGTAACCAGGTAGGGGCCCTGTCGTCTAGGTAAACAGGTAGGGGCTCTGTCGTCTAGGTAACCAGGTAGGGGCTCTGTCGTCTAGGTAACCAGGTAGGGGCCCTGTCATCTAGGTAACCAGGTAGGGGCTCTGTCGTCTAGGTAACCAGGTAGGGGCTCTGTCGTCTAGGTAACCAGGTAGGGGCTCTGTCGTCTAGGTAACCAGGTAGGGGCTCTGTCGTCTAGGTAACCAGGTAGGGGCTCTGTCGTCTAGGTAACCAGGTAGGGGCTCTGTCGTCTAGGTAACCAGGTAGGGGATCTGTCATTGAGGTAACCAGGTAGGGGATCTGTCGTCTAGGTAACCAGGTAGGGGATCTGTCGTCTAGGTAACCAGGTAAGGGCTTTGTCGTCTAGGTAACCAGGTAGGGGATATGTCGCCTAGGTAACCAGGTAGGGGATCTGTCGTCTAGGTAACCAGGTAGGGGATATGTCGTCTAGGCAACTAGATAGGGGATCTGTCGTCTAGGTAACCAGGTCGGGGATCTGTCGTCTAGGTAACCAGGTAAGGGCTCTGTCGTCTAGGTAACCAGATAGGGGATATGTCGCCTAGGTAACCAGGTAGGGGATCTGTTATCTAGGTAACCAGGTAGGGGATATGTCGTCTAGGTAACTAGATAGGGGATCGGTCGTCTAGGTAACCAGGTAGGGGATCTGTCGTCTAGGTAACCAGGCAAGGGGATCTGTCGTCTAGGTAACCAGGTAGGGGATCTGTCATTGAGTTAACCAGGTAAGGGCTCTGTCATCTAGGTAACCAGGTAAGGGATCTGTTGTCTAGGTAACCAGGCAAGGGGATCTGTCGTCTAGGTAACCAGGTAGGGGATCTGTCGTCTAGATAACCAGGTAGGGGATATGTCGTCGAGGTAACCAGGTAGGGGATCTGTCGTCTAGGTAACCAGGTAGGGGATCTGTCGTCTAGATAACCAGGTAGGGGATCTGTCGTCTAGATAACCAGGTAGGGGCTCTGTCGTCTAGGTAACCAGGTAGGGGATATGTCGCCTAGGTAACCAGGTAGGGGATCTGTCGTCTAGGTAACCAGGTAGGGGATCTGTCGTCTAGGTAGCCAGGTACGGGCTCTGTCGTCTAGGTAACCAGGTAGGGGCTCTGTCGTCTAGGTAACCAGGTAGGGGCCCTGTCGTCTAGGTAATCAAGTAGGGGATATGTCGCCTAGGTAACCAGGTAGGGGATCTGTCGTCTAGGTAACCAGGTAGGGGCTCTGTCGTCTAGGTAACCAGGTAGGGGCTCTGTCGTCTAGGTAACCAGGTAGGGGCTCTGTCGTCTAGGTAACCAGGTAGGGGATCTGTCATTGAGGTAACCAGGTAGGGGATCTGTCGTCTAGGTAACCAGGTAGGGGATCTGTCGTCTAGGTAACCAGGTAAGGGCTCTGTCGTCTAGGTAACCAGGTAGGGGATATGTCGCCTAGGTAACCAGGTAGGGAATCTGTCGTCTAGGTAACCAGGTAGGGGATCTGTCGTCTAGGTAACCAGGTAGGGGCTCTGTCGTCTAGGTAACCAGGTAGGGGCTCTGTCGTCTAGGTAACCAGGTAGGGGATCTGTCATTGAGGTAACCAGGTAGGGGATCTGTCGTCTAGGTAACCAGGTAGGGGATCTGTCGTCTAGATAACCAGGTAGGGGATATGTCGTCTAGGTAACCAGGTAGGGGATATTTCGTCTAGGTAACCAGGTAGGGGATCTGTCGTCTAGATAACCAGGTAGGGGCTCTGTCGTCTAGGTAACCAGGTAGGGGATATGTCGTCTAGATAACCAGGTAGGGGATATGTCGTCTAGGTAACCAGGTAGGGGATCTGTCGTCTAGACAACCAGGTAGGGGATATGTCGTCTAGGTAACCAGGTAGCGAATATGTCGCCTAGGTAACCAGGTAGGGGATCTGTCGTCTAGGTAACCAGGTAGGGGATATGTCGTCTAGGTAACCAGGTAGGGGATCTGTCGTCTAAGTAACCAGGTAGGGGATCTGTCGTCTAGGTAACCAGGTAGGGGATCTGCCGTCTAGGTAACCAGGTAGGGGATCTGCCGTCTAGGTAACCAGGTAGGGGATCTGTCATTGAGGTAACCAGGTAGGGGATATGTCGTCTAGGTAACCAGGTAGGGGATATGTCGTCTAGGAAACCAGGTAGGGGATCTGTCGTCTAGGTAACCAGGTAGGGGATTTGTCGTCTAGGTAACCAGGTAAAGCATCTGCCGTCTAGGTAACCAGGTAGGGGATCTGCCGTCTAGGTAACCAGGTAGGGGATCTGTCATTGAGGTAACCAGGTAGGGGATCTGTCGTCTAGGTAACCAGGTAGGGGATCTGTCGTCTAGGTAACCAGGTAGGGGATCTGTCATTGAGGTAACCAGAGAATGGAATATGTCGCCTAGGTAACCAGGTAGGGGATCTGTCGTCTAGGTAACCAGGTAGGGGATCTGTCGTCTAGGTAACCAGGTAGGGGATCTGTCATTGAGGTAACCAGGTAGGGGATCTGTCGTCTAGGTAACCAGGTAGGGGATATGTCGTCAGGTAACCAGGTAAGGGCTCTGTCGTCTAGGTAACCAGGTAGGGGATCTGTCGTCTAGGTAACCAGGTAGGGGATCTGTCGTCTAGGTAACCAGGTAGGGGATCTGTCATTGAGGTAACCAGGTAGGGGATCTGTCGTCTAGGTAACCAGGTAGGGGATATGTCATTGAGGTAACCAGGTAGGGGATCTGTCGTCTAGGTAACCAGGTAGGGGATATGTCGTCTAGGTAACCAGGTAAGGGATCTGTCATTGAGGTAACCAGGTAGGGGATCTGTCGTCTAGGTAACCAGGTAGGGGATCTGTCGTCTAGGTAACCAGGTAGGGGATATGTCGTCTAGGTAACCAGGTAAGGAATCTGTGAAGGTAACCAGGTAAGCCACGTTTCACCCTTAATAGGGGATAATCAGTGAGCAATAACCCAGCTTAAACAATAACCCAACTTAAACAATCACCCAACTTAAACACGCCGTGGAGCAGCTAGCGGGCACGGCCGCAGCTTGAAGCCACAAGGGGCGCGAACGTCGCGCTGGCCACCGCGTGCAGAGGGCGCGTAAAGCCGCAGCGGTCCCCAACCGGTCCGTGGCTTGTTAGGAACCGGGCCGCACAGCAGCAGGAGGTGAGAGCGGTGAGTCCGCGAGGCCCGCCCCCATTATTTTATTATTTTCCACTTCCATCCGCGCCTCTTTCCCGCACAGCGCACTTGTCTCAGTCACAGTGTTGGTATGAAGCCGACAAGCTCTAACCCCGAGTAGCCAAAATGAGTAAAAAAACAAACGTCGCTGGAGAGCTTCTTTGGAAAGTGGGAAAGACCCAATGATGAACCCCCCCCCCGATCCGGGAAAAATTTGTCTTCCACGAAACCGGTCCCTGGTGCCAAAAAGGGACCGACTTCGTGGCGTTATTTACCAAGGGCCGTCGCCGTCTCGAATTCACCACACAAGTGCATGGCGGCTCGTGAAATGTTGAGTTGGTTCATTTTACCGGACAAAAAACATTAATTTTTGTTGCCCACCCTTGGGATAATGCGACCCATTAGGATCGATGTGATTGATGTCTATCCATTAGGCCAACGTTACTCATTTGTTTGGCTGTGTCGGGTGGTGGAGGGTCTAACCACAACAACGTTGGCCAGATTATTGCGTTGCCGAACCCAAACGAGCCTCAAGAATGCGCACGATCGTCAATGAATATTTGTGAAGCCAGTTTAACCTCATGAACTTTCGTGAAACCAGTTTAACCTCGTGAATATTCATGAGGCCAGTTTAACCTCGTGAATATTCATGAAGCCAGTTTAACCTCGTGAATATTCATGAGGCCAGCCACCCTCGTTAATATTCATGAAGCAGTCACCCTTGTTAATATTCATGAGGGCGGCCACCCTCGTTAAAATTCATGAGGCCAGCCACCTTCGTTAATATTCATGAGGCCAGCCACCCTCGTTAATATTCATGAGGCCAGCCACCCTCGTTAATATTCATGAAGCCAGCCACCCTCGTTAATATTCATGAAGCCAGTCACCCTCGTTAATATTCATGAAGCCAGTCACCCTTGTTAATATTCATGAGGCCAGCCACCCTCGTTAATATTCATGAAGCCAGTCACCCTCGTTAATATTATTGAAGCCAGTCACCCTCGTTAATATTCATGAGGCCAGCCACCCTCGTTAATATTCATGAAGCCAGTCACCCTCGTTAATATTCATGAAGCCAGCCACCCTCGTTAATATTCATGAAGCCAGTTACACTCGTTAATATTCATTAGGCCAATCAGCCTTGTTAATATTCATGAAGCCAGTCACCCTCGTTAATATTCATGAAGCCAGCCACCCTCGTTAATATTCATGAAGCCAGTCAGCCTCGTTATTATTCACGAGGCCAGTCAGCCTTGTTAATATTCATAAGGCCAGCCAGCCTTGTTAATATTCATGAAGCCAGTCACCCTCGTTAATATGCATAAGGTCAGCCACCCTCCTTCATATTCATGAGGCCAGACACCCTCGTTAATATTCATGAGACCAGTCAGCTTTGTGAATCTTCATGAAGCCAGTCACCCTCGTTAATATTCATGAAGCCAGTCACCCTCGTTAATATTCATGAGACCAGCCACCTTCGTTAATATTCATGAGGCCAGCCACCCTTGTTAATATTCATAAGGCCAGTCACCCTCGTTAATATTCATGAAGCCAGTAACCCTCGTTAATATTCATGAGGCCAGTCAGCCTAGTGATTATACACGAGGCCAGTCAGCCTCGTGAATATTCATGAGGCCAGTCAGCCTCGTGAATATTCATGAGGCCAGCCACCTTCGTTAATATTCATAAGGCCAGTCAGCCTTATTCTTAGTTTTTTCGGTAAAGTCACGTTGAAGAGAAACAGCAAAATAACAAAATATATATAAAACAATAAAAAATTCTCACGACGTTTCGACCATAACTCAAACGGTCATCATCAGGTGTGTTGGTTTGCATAAATTTATTTTTAAACGGCACATTTATTTATTTATAAAAAAACGTTGGCGTCACGCGCAGCGATTTGGCAGTTTGCCCAGGACTAGTCCATCTATTTTTTTTAAAAGAGGAGGGGGGAGACGAAATTTTTTATAATGTATGCTGTCTGAAAGCCACTGTAAGCGTGAACAATCAATTAAGAACTGAAATGGTTTATCAAATCTTTCCAATGATTGCTAAGATAGAATCCATCTTCTCGGTTGAAATTGTCTCTGTGATCTGGTTCCGTCTGTAAAAGATGTGATTCCGGACATACAATACCCTGGTGTCTACAAACTAAGTTGCCTCTGTGGTAGTAGTTACATTGGAGAAACCAAACGCCATGTCTCGGACCGCATTCGTGAACATAAAGCAGACCTTAAACACGGTAGGACCAACACCTCGGCCGTAGCAGATCATTGTTCTAATTCAGTAGGCTCACATGCCATTGACTTTTCCAAGACGGAGGTTCTTTGTAAGCCATCTGGCTTCCATGAGAGATTCGTTCATGAGGCTATCCACATATACAAGCACAGAGACAATTTCAACCGAGAAGATGGATTCTATCTTAGCAATCATTGGAAAGATTTGATAAACCATTTCAGTTCTTAATTGATTGTTCACGCTTACAGTGGCTTTCAGACAGCATACATTATAAAAAATTTCGTCTCCCCCCTCCTCTTTTCAAAAAAATAGATGGACTAGTCCTGGGCAAACTGCCAAATCGCTGCGCGTGACGCCAACGTTTTTTTTTATAAATAAATAAATGTGCCGTTTACAAATAAATTTATGCAAACCAACACACCTGATGATGACCGTTTGAGTTATGGTCGAAACGTCGTGAGAATTTTTTATTGTTTTATATATATTTTGTTATTTTGTTGTTTCTCTTCAACGTGACTTTACCGAAAAAACTAAGAATATGAATTACTGCAGTCACGAAAGCTTTAAATCAAAATCCAGTCAGCCTTGTTAATGTCCATAAGGCCAGCCAGCCTTGTTAATATTCATGAAGCCAGTCACCCTCGTTAATATGCATAAGGTCAGCCACCCTCCTTCATATTCATGAGGCCAGACACCCTTGTTAATATTCATGAGACCAGCCACCCTCGTTAATATTCATGAGGCCAGCCACCCTCGTTAATATTCATGAAGCCAGTAACCCTCGTTAATATTCATGAGGCCACTCAGCCTCGTGAATATTCATGAGGGCAGCCACCTTCGTTAATATTCATAAGGCCAGTCAGCCTTGTTAATGTTCATAAGGCCAGTCACACTTGTTAATATTCATGAGGCGAATTAACCCCGCTCGCGGTCACGTGGCGTCGCACGCAACCCCCGAAGCGGAAGTGCGTAACGCGGCGAGTGACGGCAGAGTCGTCGTCGCCAATGAGAGCGCGGGGCCAAAGCCACGTGACGGCCTCAAAGCAAACGGTGGGGGGTGGTAGGGGGAGAGTCGAGAGAGCGCGAGGGGAGTGTCGAGAAAGAGAGCGAGGGGAGAGTCGAGAGAGAGCGAGGGGAGAGTCCGGGGAGTGTCGAGAGAGAGTCGAGAGAGGGTAGAGAGAGCGAGGGAGAGTGCGAGGGGAGAGTCGAGAGAGAGTAGAGAGAGCGAGGGGAGAGTCGAGAGAGAGCGAGGGGAGAGTCGAGAGAGGGCGAGGGGAGAGTCGAGAGAGAGCGAGGGGAGAGTCGAGAGAGAGTAGAGAGAGCGAGGGGAGAGTCGAGAGAGAGCGAGGGGAGAGTCGAGAGAGCGCGAGGGGAGAGTCGAGAGAGGGTAGAGAGAGCGAGGGGAGAGTCGAGAGAGAGCGAGGGGAGAGTGGGGAGAGTCGAGAGAGAGCGAGAGGAGAGTCGAGAGAGAGCGAGGGGAGAGTCGAGAGAGAGAGCGAGGGGAGAGTCGAGAGAGAGTAGAGAGAGCGAGGGAGAGTCCGGGGAGAGTCGAGGGAGAGCGAGGGGAGAGTAGAGAGAGCGAGGGGAGAGTCGAGGGAGAGTCGAGAGAGAGCGAGGGGAGAGTGGACGGCGAGTGCGAGGGGAGAGTAGAGAGAGCGAGGGGAGAGTCGAGGGAGAGAGGGGAGAGAGATTGGCGGAGAGCGTGCGAGAGGAGAGAGCCGGCACGATTACAGGAGGGAGACGAGAGGCCTAGCGGCAGCGGCGGCAGGAGAGTGGGAGGAGACAGGCGGGGAGAGACGCCGCAGGGGTTGAGGTGGTGGTGAGGAGACGCCGCAGGGGTTGAGGTGGTGGTGAGGAGACGCCGCAGGGGTTGAGGTGGTGGTGGTGGTGAGGAGACGCCGCAGGGGTTGAGGTGGTGAGGAGACGCCGCAGGGGTTGAGGTGGTGGTGGTGGTGAGGAGACGCCGCAGGGGTTGAGGTGGTGGTGAGGAGACGCCGCAGCGGTTGAGGTGGTGGTGAGGAGACGCCGCAGGGGTTGAGGTGGTGGTGGTGAGGAGACGCCGCAGGGGTTGAGGTGGTGGTGGTGGTCTACTCGTCGGAGGATTCGGGGGAGGAGACGCCGCAGGGACGCGATGCCGGCACCGCCGCCGCCGCCGCTCCTCGTCTTCGCCCTGCTCTGCTTTCTGGCCGCCCACGGCGAGGGTAAAAACGGGGGCCGGGCATCAAGTGTGGAGGGGGGGGGTTAGGGGGCTCTCGCTGGGGTCCTTGGGACCCCTCGCTAGGGTCCTTGGGACCCCTCGCTAGGGTCCTTGGGACCAGGCTGCCGGGTCATGGTCCAAGCCTAATGAGGTGAGAGTTGAGTCACCACCCCCAGGGGCCTTTGAGTGCGAGACACGGGGGCCGCGAGAGGCGCGTGGGGGCCTCCTCTGGTCGGGGCTCCCACGAGGTTGTGGAGCGGGTGTCTCGATGTTTCTGCCGGGGTCTTTGAACCCCCCACTGTTGTATGGGGTTAATGGGATTGAGCCAGTGTGGTGTGAGATTGGTGGGGGGGGGGGGGCTGGGTGTCTGCGTTTGAGGGCCAAGTGGGAACAGAGAGGGGGTCAGAGCCGTGGGCTGGGGGGGGGGGTTCTTGGCGGGGGTTCTCAGGGGTGTGGACGCGGGAGGTCTGGGCAGGGTCCCACCTCGCCGCGGTGTTGACATAGCCCCGATACAATTCACGCAATTCGCCCACAACAGCTGCTGCTACCACAGTTGTTGTTGCTGCTCCTACGGTTTGTTGTTTAATTTGTTGCTCGTTTAAATTTGGTGGCGGGGTTGATGCTGTAGTAGTAGCTGCTGCTGCGGTTGATGCTGTAACAGGTTGCTGATGGTGGTGGTGGTGCAGTTGAGGTTATTTCCGCTGCGTTTGATGTTACACAGTTGCGGTGGTGGTGTTGTTGTTGCTGCTGTTCGTGGCTGCCCTGTGCTTTGATGGCGGAGACGAGTGTGTTACCGGTGGTCCTGTGTGATGTGCCCGCTTGAGCATGCATTGGCTTCCCGTTGCCGAACGATTTCCGTTACGAGGTCGCACTCGTTAACATCACAGACACACACACAAGGGGCATGAACCATCATCACGCCAACTTCGCTCGTCAAAATCCCACCGGATTGAAAACAAATTCCTTGAAATGTGCGTTGTGTATGTGCGTTTAGTTTGTAGCCCTTCCCCCGCACCTCAGTTTCAGTGTATCTTTTATTTTTTATAGCTCTGTGAGCCATTCGGCTCTTGAATCGGGTGCAACCACAACAAACAAAAAAAATAAAAACACGAACAAGAAAAACAAAAGTGACTATGTGACTGTGCAAACAGAAAATCCCAGACGATCATCGGTTTAGTACGTGCGGTGCGACATTAGTTGTTCAACAAACGCACGCACGTGTCCGGAGGGGGTCCCTCCCCTCCCCCCGAGGTTGGTTATCTGGCGGTGCTTCACGTGGCTCAACGTTTGCGCTTTGCCCGCTTGTCGCAGATGTTCGCGATTCGATTCGATCCCCGGCAGCAGTCGCCCCACGGTGAATGCCGTGGACGTTAAATACCTCCTTCCCCCCGGCAATGTCGCCCAATTTGCCAAATTCTAGACATTACTGAAATTGGGATGACACACAACGATCACTGCTCGCCTACTGGCAGACTAATTCCCACCTTGTGGGCATAGGGGACAGCTTGCCACTGGTGGTGCCCTTCAAATGGTTACACGTGAGACTGGGTAACTTGCATGCTTCTCAGGCCCAATAAGCCACACTGTCGCATTTTGCGACCCCCACTGCCACTGTGTAGCATATTATATGCCAGGGACTCTATGAGATGAGTCTGAGTCCATAATTGGCAATAAGTAACGGCAAAGCAGTTATAAGTGACTCAGAATTGTGCGCAGTTTCGTATACAGTACACGACTTCCCTGAAAGGCAAACACCTTCAGCGAGCGCGATACCGATCACACAACGCGGTTCGAATTCGACCCTCGATCGATGGCTGAGCCATCGCCGCACACGCGTCGAATAAAAAGCAAGGGACAAGTCCGTACTTACGAACAACTCCTCTCTCATTTTTCATTGCTGGAGGGGTTGCCCCTCCCTACCTGAAAATCCTGGCTTTGCCATTGTCACTGAGCGCACACTTGGAGCCACACCAAGACACTGGTGTGGTGCAAACTCTTGTTGTATAACCTGCTGGGTGGTTGCATATGCTCAGAGCCAACCAAAGGTTCATTGACATCCTACATCATTTCATATAAAACCCAGTGGGTCTTCCTTTTGGCTTTTAGAGCCAAACTAGAGTACATCGACATTCTACAAACTCAAAGTGGGTGGGTTATTTTAGCCTATAGGGAGAAACGAATCCTCGTAGACGTAGAACAGAGATAACTGAGTGACTGGGGCTTCCTTGAGGCTCATGCACCCCTATCCATTGGCACATCCAAGCCAAGCCAGCGCGGGGCTCTCACGGCACGGGTGCTTTTCCACTGGAGATTTGCTTAGCCGGAAGAAAACCGTGCTGCGCTGGCTTCACAAGCAGATGTCTGAATCTGACTCGGGGGGCCAAGCAGGGCCACAGATGGGGCTAACGATGCATTCATCGCGTGACGTCAATCGGTACGCCGTGAGGACATGGCGTCGCAGGGTCATCGACAAGCGCCTCGACTCGTTCAATGCACGTGACGTCGGCGGCACGACTCTACTTTTTCAGTGGAAAACCAACCTGGGACCTTTTGAGCCGCGCCGAGCTGGCTGGGTACGGCCCTGGGGCACGGCTCGCTCGCGCAGTGGGGAAAAAAGGCAATCGCCCGCTAATGCACGTGTGGTGCCTCCGTGCGTCTCTGTCCGTTAGTCTCCGGAGACCGCCAGTGTCTGGGCTACTCGGACAAGAATGGAACGTTCCACCGTGGCATCAACTGCATCTTCCCCGAGTCGTGCTGTGGCAGCTGCTACCAGCGCTCGTGCTGCTCCGTGTCCAGCCAGCGCATCTCCGAGCGCATGCAGAAGCACTGCACCTACTTCGCCGTGAAGTGAGCACCGAGTTTGGGGTTAAGGGTTTGTGGGCCAGGGTTAAGGGTTCAGGATTCATGGTTGAGGGTTTGGAGTTCAGCAGTCAGAGTTGAGGGTTTGGGGTGGTGAGGCCATGTTGCTAATGGTGGTGATGTGGTTTGGGGTAGCATTGTAACGTGCTGATTTGGTTCAGTCAAGACATTAGTGTTTTGGCTGTGGACTGTGGGCGTGCCAGGATTTCTGAGTAGGGGTAACCGCAATTTCACCGCAGGAACCATTATGCAGTTAGCTGTCCCACGACTCACTCGTCATCTCCGATCCCTGGGGACTTGACGAATCCTCAGGATTTGGGAAGTTGCCAACCATCCTCGAGAATTGACTGGTCCCGTGTCGGCCTTCTGGCCGGGTTTGGTTGACAGCTGCACCCGAACGGTCATGCAACATTGTGCAACTGCACAACCGGTTGCTGGTTGTGTAGCTGCTCGACACTTGTTTCATCACGTTCTGCACGTTCACGATTTACGATTGGTTGTTAGGACCCTGAACGCATCCCGCCTAATTTCCTCACTGCCCAACTACTCGCTCAGGTGTGGACGAAAGCAGTCGCAGGCGACTAGGTTGTGCGATTTTCTTGCGCGGTTTGCCGGCGCAGCCGATGGCTCCAACGTGGACCCGGCTTAATTTGGAAAGCATAAAAAACTAAAAAACATCTTCACACTCCTACTCACGGCCGCCACCCCATGCACCGCCCTGTCTCGCACCGCAGCCCCGGAACGGTCGCCGGGATCGCGTCCAGTATCTTCGTCTTCCTCGTCATCGTCATCACCGCCATCTGCTGCTTCATGTGCTCCTGCTGCTTCATCCGACGCTGGCGTCAGGGAAACCTCCGCTCCTACACCACCGGTACGGTAGTCGGTGGGGCCCTGGCCACGCGTCATTACGTGTGGCCGTCTGGCGGTGGTGCGATGACTTGGTCACGCTCGCGGATTTGTTCAACTTGGCTCGTGTTGCGTTGTTCTTGTTTGTCTCTGACCGCGCGTCTTCGTTCTGTCCGTCACAGCTGAGCACATGCAGCTGAACATGCAGCCGGGCCCCGGACAGAGCTCCTACCCCCAGCAGCCCCCTATGGGGCCCCCACCGGCCCAGCCGTACCCTGCCTACCCAATGGGGCCCGTCTACCCTGCAGGGCCCGGTTACTCCCAGGGACCCGGGTACCCCCAGGGGCCGGGGTACCCCCAGGGGCCCGGATACCCCCAGCAGGGGCCTACTTACAACCCTCAGGGCCCCCCGTACCAGCCATACCCCATGGCGCCGCCCTCCTACGACTCGGCCATGGGTGAGTAACCCCGATGCTGGTGACGGAGCCCCGGCTAACCGGCGCGCCTCCACATCGCTGTGTGCGTTTGTGTGTACATGAATGGGTACCTAAGTACGTGTGTGTGGGGAGCGGTAGTGTAGCGGGGAGTAGTAGTGTAGCGGTTAGCGCGCTTCGCTATGAACCCAGTGACCCAAGTTCGATTCCTGCTCATGGCCAATACCAGTGACGATTATGTGAACCGGGCCTCCCCTAGGTCGACTAAGCCTCAGATGAGTACCTGGTGCGGTGTGTAAACATCAGCACTGAGCAAGCCAAGACGTCCTAGTGTGGTGCTGGCCACACCACCTGCTCGTGTGCCATCCTGACCGTAATAAGTGCTCCCTATCAGCACCCTATTAGCACTTTTTCCAACCGTTCAAGCCAATACGGGTGACTTCTGTCTCTTTGTGTGTGCGTGTGAAACCCAGCTCCTCAGCCACCATACCCGGTGCACCCCACCTACCACCAGGGCTACGCGTCAGCGCCCGACAAAGCCATGTGAAGCTCATCGCCCGGCCGCTCGCTCGCCCGCCTGGCAACCTGTCAACCCACCTGCTCGCCCACACGCCCGCTGGCTCACTCGCACATGGCTGACACGACACAGTCCAACCATGCCCACCAAACGTGCAAGCTCATCGCTCGTGGTTTCATTTATTTATCTTGACCCCCCCACCGCTCCTTATCGTGGCGGTTCGCATCACCGCGCCGCCAATTGCCACCCGCGCACAGGGTTCAGGGGTTAGCGACCGGATCGGCGTGAGAGCTCGTGACCGTCTTGTCCCGGGATTCATTTTTTCACTGAGTATTCTCCGGGTCGCTGGTATAGACGGGAGTTGATAGCATGTGCCTAGTAGTAGTGACAGCCATAGTGAGGCATACTGGATGTGGTGTCCCGGGTATGGAAATATTTTCTTGGTCACCAACCCACACAGACCCCGGCCGACTAAGGCCTGGTCATAGTTCACAGCCAACCCCCACCCACCACAATGCCAGCCCAGTCGTAACGTTTGCATGTCAAGGGTCGCCGCTGTCAACCGGGCGATTCCTTCCCACCAATCGTGGCTGTCTCTAGTCTGCCGAGAGACCTGCAAACCGCTTGTGGTATTAAAATGAAAGTTGAGTTGTTTTGGAATTTCACTTTGCGGGCGTCTTCAATGCCTCCCTCTCCACCACGCCGGTCGTTCCTCCGGGTGGCCAAGCATCGGCACCGAGTGCCCGTCAGGTTTCTAGGGAGAGGGAGGTGTTGCGTCGTGTTCTTGCGGCGCCGACCCACGCCTAGCTGGGCTCTGGCGGACCTGTACGTTGTTTGCCCTTGAATGTATTGCATGCGTAGGGGTTTTGTTGATCGACTTAGTGATGCATTGTTTGTGCCAGCGTTGATTTCCCTAGCGGGATCGGTGGTGATGTCATATTCGTCACGTGTATTTGTTTTTCACCTTAGTTGACGATTACTAGATGCCTGCCGAGTCAGATGCGGCTTTAAAAACTTCCCAAACATTGGAAGGGGGGCAGTCCGTGTGCTTTCAGAATGCCGGGCATTTTTAATACAATATGGCCCAACAAAAGTAAAATAACACATTAAATAAAAAATTTCTGATATCAATAAATTACAACTCTTTGGGGTCTCACGGAGGAGGGGGCAATCACCCCCTCCACCCCCCCCCACCCACCCCACTGGTTTTGCCACGGCTGCGAGCGGAGGAAATACCTGCGGAGCGTGGCAATGGCCATGTCTCCACCCTCCTAGAACCAGTGCGCCTCCTGCTGCGCCTCCCGTTGCTGCTGCAGTGGTGGTGGCGGCAGCAGCAGCAGTGGCGCACCGCCGGGAGAGGAAACCAGCGAGGGTGCAGACGCAGGCGAGGACTGTCGCCTTGTCAGAGCGTCCCAAGTGCGCCGAGGACGACGAAACAGCATGGTTAGTTGGCTGTGTCTATATTTAAGGGTTTATCATGTTTGGCAATTGGCTGACCTGATGATATTATTTAGTTTTTAAATGTGAGGGTGAGGGGCGACAAACACTAAATGTGACTGCTCTAGTCAGCCAGACCCCCGAGAAGGACAACTCGTGGACGAAAGTGATCCTAAACTCCACATCCTGTCGACGGCCAGACTGGAATTCCCTGCCATCGTCTATTTTTCCAGCATGTGGAGCGAAACGTCGGACGACGCGCCGGGCCAAACAACGCGTGGTGCAACCAAATGCATGGGGGAGGGGGGGGCGGACAGCGATGCATGTTGGGATGTACCTGGACCTGCCCACAGTACTTGTGATGTTTTTTTACGAACATTAATTATATTGAACGCGATATACATTGCGAAGGTATATATTTTTGGAGTTGTGATGCATGTCGTACATTGTGCAAGATCGTGAGAGATGGCAGCAGCTTTGTGAGGCCTTCATCCAGCAGTGGATTGACCATGGCTGATGATGAACGCAAGTCTTGGGTGGTTATGGCCAGGCCGTCGATCGCCCGGCCTAAGAAAGGAGGTTCAGACTAGCGGTTTCACCGGCACGCTGTTCAGCCCATCATCGTGTACCGGTGGTCGCTAAACTGATACTACTTTGCAGGAATTCGATGGTGACTTGTGGATAAACTTCCCTCCGCCGTACGAACATAGAATTTCCAGCACTGGCTCGGGATCGCGAGTGGACCGCGAGCGCTGCTTCAAACTTAGCAGGGGGCATCTGTGGTGCCCTTGAAAACCCACGGCGTGGTTATGGCCCCAGAGTAGCGGAGGCGCTTTTGTTGAGAGTGACGATGCGGGCTAAGTGGGGATCTGCTGAACGTGATTGTGCCTCTTGCGGGGCCGATCCGTTGGGGAGGCTACAACGACGAGGCAGAAACGACCTGCGCCACGCATGGATGTCCTGTGATGCTCTGCGATGTGCGGAAGAAATATCTTCCGGTGCGGAAGCCGCCGGAGCAGCTGTCGTCACAGAGATGCGTTTGCGTGCTTCTAAATGGTACATTTTTTCTCTGGTTTGAGTTTTCAAAAGTTCTGGGGAACCCCTTTTGATCACTTTGGCCGATTATTAAGAGGGTAACTCGATAACATCGACGTGACTTTATTCCGAAGTTTACCGTCTTATTCGTTCAGGTTTACGAGCGTCATCAAGCCCCTCAACCCACCGCGTTATATGCGGACGGACAGAACTCTGCATTGACCCCTTCAGCGTTAGTGCGCGTCAAGAACACGTGTGTGGGTTGTCGCGTTCTTCGGGCATCGTCACCCCTGTCCCCACGGTGCGCGCTTTTGAGTGTTTGCGAACGCATTGTTGGCCGCTGAGATTAACCCTGCGACACTTGTTGAGTCTCGACACTGCACGGCTTTAGGTGCAATGACGCGTCGATTTCATGTCCATTCTTACCTCCCCCCCCCCCCCAACAAAGCCACGACAGACCGCGCGACATCCACTGAGGTGTTAAAACAGTTGATTAATCGAATTGGGAAAACAGAGTCGTTGGCAAATTGGCAGCTCGTGCCCGGATTCTGCCCATGAATCGCATTCGGGGGGAGTTTGGCTTTGGCCCCAAATGCATCATATCTGTCAACCCACACGGTTTACCCCGGTATTCTTGTACAGGGAAATTGAGTTTTCAGGTCCATACGGTGTACAGCCGTTTCAATACTGGAAAAAAAGTGTTTTTTTGTGTTTCTCCCTTGTGATGGGACTTTGTAGGATGAACGTTGAGATTTATAAGAGCACGGGGTGGCCACTAAGGTCTGAATTGGTCTAATAAGGTAGGCAGCACTGATGAGAGGTTGACAGGTATCAATGCCGGATGAAGCTAGTGCGGGGCCTGTAGCATATGTGATAAAGGGGCCCTAAATAAAAAATATATATTAAAAACACTAATGTTTACTTGCATAGTAAAGTAAGTGTATATTTTAATTTGCTATACAGCCAGATAATACGACAAATCGCTAACCTTAAACACCCAGTCGTTCATAAAATTTGAGGGCAGTATAGCACTATAGTAATAGAGCAAGTGCAGATCACTGAACCGGACTATATTCCAAAGTTTAGCGCGAGACCCTTGAAAGTGTAGCTACTACATGTGTAGCTACTACCTAGTAGCTACTAAACGAGTAGTAGCTACTACGTAGTAGCTACATGTGTAGCTACTAGGCGTGTAGTAACTACTACTACAGGGATGCAGCAAATTTGACGTCGCCTCCCGCAACGTCGCCTGCATTTACTGCCCCGAGTGCCGACGCGTGGCGCCGTGTTGACGATTGACGCGATCACTGTGTAAGCTATTAACGTCTAAAAATGTTGACTTTTTAAATGATTGAGCATTACTTTAGAAGTTCAAATTCAACGATGAATGTTATAAAATGTATTCGATTCAACTTAGTGCATAAGCAATGAAAGTTGTTTAAAGTGTAATCGTACATTTACACGTACGATTACGTGCACGTTGAACTTCTTTCGCACCGCACGTAGCCAGCCGTGCTAATCCGAGGTGCACGGGGTAAGGACAACGAACAAATTCAACGCAACAAAAACAATCTAGACTATTTAAAAGAGCATGGGTCCAGCGGCTTCCTGGTATCGGAAGGAAAGAGAGCGTTCCAGACGGCCGCAGAAGACCATCTAAAAAGCGCGCGATACGCGTGGGAACACGGGAACCAGTGCGAAATGTCCCCTTAACGGCGAAAGTCGTCGCCACGCGTAATCCATCCCGGGAGCGACTCCATCCGTGTCGCAGCACGCGACACGCATGGGGGGGGGGGGGGGTGTCTCTCGCGCTTGCGTTGGGTTCAGTAAAACCCCCTCGGCGAAGTGCAGCCGGCTTCAACCGCCTGGAGCTTAAATTTTGATTTAAAGCTTTCGTGACTGCAGGGATTCATATTCTTGGTTCTTTCGGTAAAGTCACGTAGAAGGGAAACAATAAAATAATAAAAATATAAAACAATAAAATTCTCACGACGTTTCGACTGCAACACAAGCAATCATCATCAGGTGTGAAAACCACAGCAAGAAATTTGAAAAAAGTGGCGGGTTTTTTTACGTTAGCACCACGGAGAGCGATTTGGCAGTTATTCAGATGGACGAGTCCATCTATGTTCGGAAAAGAGGAGGGGGGAGACGAAAATAATGGATGCGGTCTGAAAGCCACCGTAAGCGTGAACATTCAATTAAGACCCGAAATGGTTGATCAAATCCTTCCAATGATTGCTAAGCCAAAAAACGCCACTTTTTTCAAATTTTCTTGCTGTGGGTTTCACACCTGATGATGATTGTTTGTGTTGCAGTCGAAACGTCGTGAGAATTTTATTGTTCTATATTTTTATTACTGTATTGTTTCCCTTCTACGTGACTTTACCGAAAGAACCAAGAATACGCCTGGAGCTTCTCAACAAGAGACGAGTGCCCATTGTGTTCATCAATCGCCCGTTCGCTGGTGTATTGTGCTCGGCGATGCTGCTCAAACCTGTCTCGTCATCTCATTCATACCGGCGCAGGTGCTCAACGTCTCGCCGAGCGGCGCTCTCCGATTTGACGAGTTCTCGTGATACGCGTCACGTCGGCGTAAGAAGCCGTGGAATCGATGCCGATTGTATATATTCACTTCGTGCCCGCAATGCAGCCGTGCTTGATGTAACAGTTGATGCTTTTTTTTCATTCCGGGTGAACTGTATACTGGGTGCTTCGCTAATTTAACTCTATATTTGAATTGGTATCGACGTTTAAATTGCATGCGTGGTAACGCGCGTTGCGACGATTTTGCCGGGCAGCTCGAAGGCGGAATGACGCGGCGAAGGAGCGGTCGTTTGGTCCCTTCGGGAATGGCAGGTTCTGGGTAGAGGAGCAGCCTCGAGTTCACATCGCACGCGACCCACGCGACTCGCACGGTAGCATTCGCGTTAAAGGCGCAGCCCAGCAACTGCTCGCTCACGCCACCTGCTGCGGAAGGCGCCTCCACTGGAGCATTAAAGAACGTGCGAGTGTTTGCGCCTAGGGTTACAAATCCGCTCGCGATCCGAGTGTGGCCTTTTTTTTTGTTCTGGCTCGGGCGCACAGACGTTGAGCGGTTCTGCGCGAGCCGCTCTCTTCCCCCACGCGCTGCTTGTGGACAACTCGATGAGTTGAGGTGACGGATCTCGCATTTGTTCTGAGAGTGGAGACCAGCCGAGATTCCTCACTGCAGCTCCTGAGGATGTCCACAGCGGTGCGCGAGGTTGGCCACGCGACGTCTCCTCCACCCCCCCCCCCCCCCCCCCCGTTGGCCTGCAAGGCAAATGCATCCATCGAGCGCTGCTTCTAATCTCAAAGTGCGGGGAACCCCTTTGATCAATGTGGCCAGTGTTCTTGTAGGGTGGTAATAATCATAATTTGGTTATTTGTCCAGGAAAGCCGCACGACTCTTTTTTTTTCTTTACACGAGGGTCCTGTAGTTGTGTTTTTATTTTAAGATGTATTCAACCAAATTAATGATGTGCTTATAACAAGCGGGAGTAAACTCACGGGCGCACGAGGTGCTACCACCCGGATGGAAACCGATGGCGCTTTGTCCATTTTCTGTACTGCCGCCTCCTGGCGATCCAGGGTATGGCAACCTCGGACGCCACCGACGGGTGGACGGGAGTTTCACCACATTTGTGTGGTGGGTCCCACCACCACACAACCCTCTCCGCCTCCACAGCGCTGCAAGAAGTACGGGCCACACTACCGCCCGAACAGCGGCACCATTTGATAGTCGACTGTTGTTGTTCACGTTCATCTTTACCACAGTTGCCGTGACCGTTACAGACGGACGGAGATGATGCCACGAACGCGTTTGACTTTGGTTGGGAAGGAGTTTTGAGCAGCAGTGTCACCTCCCCCCCCCAATCCTCCCCCCGGGGTCAGTTTGTTGCCGAGACATTCGGCGGGCGAATTGAAATGTGGCGCGGTGACGCGACCGGACTGCGTGGTTCCCGATCAATGTTTGCGCCCCCCCCCCTTCCTTTTGTACATTAGTACCTTTTGTTTCATAGGTTAAATGGTGATATTAAAAAGCCTATCGCGTGTGTTACACAGCTCAACGTCTTCATGTGCCTGCAGTCACGCCATTGGGCAACGGTGGATAAACATTCGTCGGCCATGGCAAGGTGGAATCTACAGCCGCTCCTTTAAGACCCCCCCCCCCCCTCAAGAAACGCGTTGAAATTTGCTGTTTTATCGGAAACTAACCGACGTTATTTGACATTTTTCTTGGTAAATTGATTCGGCGTGTTTACCATTGGGATGATGATTCTGTTCAACATTGCTGTACATTGGTGCAGTCATTTTGGTTTCTCTGGCATTGGAGTTCTTGGCGAGTTTTGCTTTCGTACCTGGAACTAGGCCGGTTGCCACCTCTTCCACAGAGCAAACCTAAAACTGTGCAGTTCAACATTGCCACCGAGATCTTGGTGGCAACCCAAGAGGGTGGGTGCATGAGTGAAGAAGATGGGTCGGTCGGTCGGTCAATGAGTTGGCCGGAGGGTGGGTGTTAGGGTTGCCACATTTTCCGCGGCGAGCCCAGGCACATTTCTCAAGTCAACCTTGGTCCATCAAGACTGAAGAATCGAGTACAAAGGTTCAAACACTATGCCATCAGAGCTCGGAACAAATCAATTCCTGCCACTTGAACAGAAATACCAATTCTCGAATTGTCCGGGCAAAGCCGGGACAGGTGGCAACCGCGTGTATGAAATACGACCCACTGATAACGTGGAACAGAGAGTCACGTAGATAGAACAAATAAACACGACCGTTTCGGTCGCAACGCAAGCGACCGAAACGTCGTGTTTTCTTTTATTATTTTTTCTATCTACATGACTTTACCGCAAAGAACCAGAGAGTATGGATTCCTGCAGTCACGAAAGCTTCAAATCAAGACGGAACTTATTAAGTGTGAGAATGAGCACACTGGAGAGATGTCATGTGTACTTTATGATAGAACTAGCTGTACTACCCGGCTTCGCCCGGGACTTGGATCCACCACGCCCGGCCGCCTTTGTCTCCCCAGTGGCGATGTTCACAACCACAGCACTTACGCGTTTTGAGGCTGAGTCGACGTAGGGGAGGCCCATGACCGGTTAAAATATTCGTCACCGGTGGTGGCCGTGAGCGGGAATCGAACTCGTGGTCGCCGGGTTTGTAGCGCAGCGCACGAATCGCTACGCACCCCCCCCCCCCCACACAGGATAAAGACAAAATCCCCCGTGTAGCCTGTAGGGGGCAAGTGCTGTTAGCGAACACCTATGAAGGCCGGCACGGCACACGAGGGGGTGGGTGGCCAGCACCAGGCCGCCTTTGTCTCCCCAGTGGCGATGTTGACACCACAGCAGTCACTCGTTTGAGGCTGAGTCGACCTAGGGGAGGCCCAGGACCGGTTGAAATAATCGTCACCGGTGGTGACCGTAAGCGAGAATCGAACTTGGGTCGCCGGGTTTGTAGCGCAGCGCGCTAACCACTACACTACAATGCGTTACGCTTCCACATGCGCGGGTCACGTGACAGGTTTGACGTCACAGCTCACTTGCCGTGCAAAAAATATATGCATGGTGTACAGTCTGGAAAGTACCCACATAGCAAATTTCAAGTTTGTTGCATGTCGGGAAGTACGCTAAACATTTTGAACAGACACATTCACAACTTTGCCTTTTATATATATGGAGATTACTGTACACTGAGACAAATAGGAACACGTCGATTGTGAAGCATGTCAGAAGCATAATTTTGGGTTAAGAAAAAAAGTGAGAGTGGGCTTTGGCCGGGGAACGCCGTGGCTGTTAATAAAATGGCAACGTCGTGAGATCTGGTGACGGACTGTGGAGGCCCTCGTGTCCAGTAGTGGATAGGTCACGGATGTTGAAATCTGAAGCTCGCAGAGCACCCAACAACAACACGTGGATGGAACCGAGTGTCCTGATGTGGGCAGTCACGTGAAACGCGTATTCGATTCCGGATCGCTATCAACTCGAGTCCAAGCGAGTCTATGGTTAATCGATTCCTCCGGTGCGCACATTATAAGTGTCGAAGGGGACCGGCGCGCACTTAAATCGATTCCTATGTTACCACGCAAATATGAATCGATTCCTAACGCGGAAGTGGTCGTGTGTTTACGGGTCTGGGGACTCCAACGCTCACTTCCTTACCGCCTCTTCTGCCCACACCTCTTCATCCTCTTCTGCCCTCACCTCTTCATCCTCTACTGCCCTTACCGCCTCTTCATCTCCTACTGCCCTCACCGCCTTCTCACCGATGTACTTACTGTAACCCCTGGCCACCTGATTATCTGATTACATATTCACCTCGTCTCTCATCACCACCTCGTCATTGCGCAGCCTCGACGCCTCCACGACCTGACCTCCTCGGCGCCGAGCATGGGGGACGACGAGGAGCAGGGGAGTCGGCCGCGAGCGGAAGGGACCCCGCGATCTGGACCCAGCGTCGCGGGCCCCTCGACCGGGACGCCTCGGGTCGACGCGGGCTGCGACGCGGAGCTGCTGCAGCAGATCCGGGATCTCCTGCGGGAAAATCAGAGGCTGAAGGTGGAGCAGGTGAGGCCCACGGAGCAGGTGAGGCCCACGGAGCAGGTGAGGCCCACGGAGCAGGTGAGGGAGGAGGAGGAGGATTAGACGCTGTGGGGGTGGATCTCGAGATGATTTGGTTTTTAAACCGAATATTTCGCCTGGCAAATTAACAAACAAAAAAATCCCCTTGAGGTGGGACGTGTCTTCAGCGATGGGGTCATCTGGCACACAGCAACACACAATGACGTTGATACATGTACACACGTTCACCCACCTGCACAAAATACAAAATATCCTCTTTATAGCCTGAACAAGTGCTGTTATTACACATCGCACCAGGTACTCATTTGAGGCTGAGTCGACCTAGGGGGAGGGAGGTCCAGGACCGGTTCAGATAATTAATCGTCACCGGGTGTTGGCCGTGAGCGGGAGTCGAACCTCACTACCGCACCCCTCCAAAGACAAAGACAAAGATCCCCCGTGTAGCCTGTAACAGACTGTAGGGGCAAGTGCTGTTAGCGAGCACCTATGAAGGCCGACACGGCACACGAGGGAGTGGGTGGCCAACACCACGCCCGGCCGCCTTTGTCTCCCCAGTGGCGATGTTTACTACACATCGCACCAGATACTCATTTGAGGCCGAGTCGACCTAGGGGAGGCCCAGGACCGGTTCAAATAATCGTCACCACCGGTGTTAGCCGTGAGCAGGAATCGAACTGGGGTCGCCGTGTTCGTAGCGCAGCGCGCTAACCACTACACCACCGCTCCCCCACGCAACACAACACAATGGAACAAACGCTTAATCGCACGTTTCCCTTTTGAGTCCGTGACTTGTGCTCCTTGCGATGTCCTTGGTGCAAAGCAAGCAGCGGGCACGGCACCCACAGGTACAATACCTGCCTAGCTTTAAGAAGATTTTGTTTAGCGTGGTGCTGCGTTGGCAGAGGCGCGTAACCACCAGCACCAGCAGCAGCTCACAACTCGTTCCGTGTCAACATCGTTGCGGCTCTGAATAGGATGTAGCGACACTGATTTGTTCATATCGCTTCGTGCGGCTCGCATGCTGTGGTACCACAACCCCGGTTTTGCCGTCACCGCCAGCAATCCGTAGCCGCCCTAATCGGGTTCTAGAGAGCAGCAGCAGCAGCGTCTGTTGCTAAAGCACAGGCACACGCACAGCCGTCAAACCCTTATCAGTGCTGCATACATTATTGCAGACCAATTCAGACCTTATTGGCCCTTATAAATCTCAACGTGCATCCTACAAAGTCCCATCACAAGGGAGTAACACAAATAGACAATACATTCTTTGCCCGTATTGAAACGGCTGTACGCTTTATGGACCTGATCTAAATTTCCCTGCACAAGAATATGGGGTGAACCGTATGGGTTGACATCTATGCTATATCGAGCTATCTCTATGTATCTCTGTGGGTCTCTGTGGATCTTTATTGGTCTTTGTCTATAATAATACCTGTCAACCCCTTATAAGTGCTGCCTATCGTATTAGAGACCAATTCAGAACCTTAGTGGTCAATCCGTGCCCTTGAAAAATCTCAACGCTCATCCTACAAAGTCCCATCACAATGGAGAAACACAGACCACCACATTTTTGTTGCCCGTATTGAAACGACTGTGCGTCGTATGGACCTGAGAACTCAATCTCCTAAGCCGCACGTGTTGACTGCTCAGCACGGTGCCTCACTGCCAAGCCCACTCTGTGCCCATGCGCGGTTTCGGTGCAAAAGAATGAGACGTATCACCCTCGGTGCAAAAGAGGTCCCCTTCAGCCCTGGCGTGTGTTGGTGTGTGTGTTGGGGTGTGTGTGTTGGGGTGTGTATGGTGTGTGTTGGGGTGTGTGCTGTGTGTTGGGGTGTATGGTATGTGTTGCGGTGTGTTGGGGTGTGTGTCATTGTATATATGGAATATACAACGTGTGTGTGTGTGTGGTTGCGTGCGTTAGTATGGTGTGTGTATACAGGGTGCTTCAGAGCCCGGAGGCACATTGTGGTATTGTTGCAAATTCTTAGAAGTGTTAACAATCTTTTTGAAGGACCCTGTATTGTGAGTTAGTTTGTATGGTGTGTATGTATGACGTGTGTTAGTGTGGTGTGTATGTGTATATGTGTGGAGCGGTAAGTGTGCCGATCAGAGTTCGATTCCTGCTCACGGCCAACAGTGACGATTATCTGAACCGGTCCTGGGCCTCCCCTAGGTGGACTCAACCTCAAATGAGTACCTGGTGCGGTGCGTAAAAAACATCGCCACTAGGGAGACAAAGGCGGCTAGACGTGGTGCTGGCCACCTGCCCCCTCGTGCCGTTCTGGCCGTCATAGGTGCTCGCTAACAACACTTGCCTGTTACAGGCTACACGGGGGATCTTTGTCTTTTTTTGTACGTGTATATATCATGTTTGTTGGTTGGTATGGTGTGTTGGTATGTATTATGAATATCTGATTTGGTCCTGGGGCTCCCGCAGGTCGACTCAGCCTTAGAACATCGGCACTCGGGAGACAAATTCGATCGGGCGTGTTGCTAGCCACCCCGTGCGCCACACCGGCCTTGCCCCCGAATTCTGCTAAAGGCTACGCGGGGGATCTTTGTCGTTCGGCCCCTCATGCAGGAGGAGGAGCTCAAGGCGTGCAAGACCAAGCTGGCAGCGGCGCAGAGCAACGCGGATCAGCTGGACGAGCGGTGAGTGCCTCGTGCAGCGGGGGTGGTCGCAGTGGTGCAGCGGTCGGCGGGTTCCTCATTGCAGTCATGGTTTCTCGGTCTCGTCGATTACAGCCGGTGGAATTCTGGCCGAGCGTCGGCGCCATATTCACAGTCCTGGCTCGGCTCAGGCTCGGCTCCCGCGAATCCTGAGTGCGGTTGCGACAGTGCGCAGAGGTGGCTCGCCTGAGTCAAGCTGTGACTGAGCGTGCTGGCCTCTGAAGGTTTCGTGTCGTCATTCTCTCGCTCTGGTCACCTAGAGTAGTCTCACTGAGCCATGCGTCCTTCGTGATATGAGGTCAAACGGTCGGTTAACTCAGCAGATCTTTATATAAAGACGCAGCCGGTCGCCCTGTTTGGCCTTCCTCGGTGCATTGCAGTCTCTTAATACCACTATTCAATTATCTTGAATCTGCATCTTCATTCAGGCTCGGAGATTCCGTGTCGTCACCGTCACTCGCGCTTAGTCGCAGGTGGGCCAGCAGTCACGGTCGCCGTCACACTCGACATTCGTGACCTAGGTGGACTCAGCCTTAAATGCGTACCTAGTATCGTGTGTAAACATCAGCACTAGAGAGACGAAGGCTGTTGCGCTGTAGCGCCGGTCTTCATAGGTGCCCGCTCGCAGCGCTTGCCCCAGCAGCCCTTTGTCTACACCGGGTGGTGGGGGGGATCTTTGTCTTCATGTGCTTAGAGCAAAGTTGCTGGAGAGGAAGTTCCAGGAGGAGAGGAGTAGGCACAAGGCGGAGGAGCAGGCGATGACGATGGAGATCAACAAGCTCCGCACAGCGAGCGTCGCTGACAAGTGAGGCCAGCGGCAACCGCTCCGGAGTGTTCCTTGTGCTGAACCAATTCTGCTGAAAACATTGACTCCCACAAGGCTGTGGGGGCTGGTGGGATGCTTTCTGATGACACTTTTTCAGGAGGGCCCTGCCAGGTTTTCACAGGAGGAGGGGATGCTCGCTATGTGTATTCCAATCGAGTAAATTTGACAGTGTAATTTTTCAAGGTTGGAAAATTGGGATCGTGATGCCGCACGCAATGGCCTGCTCTTGCGAATGCCGTCACGGGATGTTTTACGTCCATGGGGAATCTGACAGCGCGTAGTATTTTTATGGTCGATACGTCCACGGCGCTGTGTGGAGAGACGGCTATGGGAGGGAGCCGTGCTGTCTGCTCGTTTTCGTACGGAGCAGTTTGGATATCGATTCAAAGGAGTGGATGTAGATGGCGCTGGATCTGCGTCGGGACAGCCCATTGCCCACTCCCTCCACCCCACCGGCCTCCAACCCCCTACCCCCCCCTCCCCAGGAGCCATGACAATGGCAGCACTGTTCTCAGCACGTCCCTGACGACGTTCAGAAACTTAACGAAAGGGAGCTCCTAATCTACCGCATTTCCACTGCCCGAGGATTCCTTTCTCACTTTTTTCCAAATTCACGTTTTCTGTGACCACCGTGACCTCCGAGTGGTGGCAGATCCAATGGGTGGGGGGCGCGGCGTGGACGATGGCCCCACCCCCCCCCCACCGCCCCTCCCGAATGTCGGTGTTTTTGTTGTGTGTTTTGTTGGGCTCTGTTTAAAAAGCCTGACGCCAAGTTTCGCCTGCATTCGAACCAGCATCGCCGCCTCAATCGTAATCGATGCAATGCTCACATGGAGTTTCTCGCACCATGCAGGAAGAAAATCCAGGAGATTGAGGCGGCCTACAAGAGGAAAATGGAAGCCAAGCCTGAAGGCTCCCAGGTGAGTAGGGGGGGGGGGGGGGGGGGTTTGGGGTGGAAGGGAAGGCAAAGATTTGGAGCAGATTGCCCAGAAATATTATTAATGCAGCCACAATTAATACATTTACGCTTGAGATAAAGACAAATTATTCCCAGGTAGCCCGGCCCAAATGGTAAAGGCACAGCCCTGCAATTGTTCACGCCACACTTCCGGCAGAAGTGCATCCCCCCCCCCCTCCCGAGGGTATTTGGCCTACTCTTCCATGCTTTCCAGGCGTCTTGGAGGATGTGGGAGAAAGCACACTTTATCCGCGTTTCACGCCACGTCTAAGTGGTAGGCCCCTTGTCCGGGGGCCGTACGAGACGGGAGTTGCGGGCCACATTCGCCCCACAGGCCGTAGGCTCCCCACAGCCGACGTAGTTGGTGGTGCCAGTGTCGGTGGTGAGTGGTGGCCAGCGCACAGTTCTCTACCGGGAGAACGTCCTGCACCGGCGTTGATACCCACGCGGCCCCCCTGCCCCCCACTCCCCTCTTCCACAGTACGAGGAGGAGCTGAAGGCCGCCGAGCAGGCCCTGGTGGCCAAGCAGGAGCACATCGACAAGCTGAAGGAGGAGTTAGAGACCCAGCACTCAAAGGTGCAAAATGTCGCCGCCCTGCGTGAAAAGGTACAAGTTCCAACATCCCCCCATAGGCCCGGCCATCGCCTCCCCCACGGGCCCGGCAATCGCCTCCCCCACGGGCCCCGCCATCGCCTCTCCCACGGGCCCGGCAATCGCCTCCCCCATGGGCCCCGTTATCACCTCCCCCACGGGCCCAGCAATCGCCTCTCTCACGGGCCCCGCCATCACCTCCCAATTTTGTATGCGTGTGTGTGGAGAGCAGTGGCAGAGTGGCTAGCGCACTCCGATACAAACCTGGGGACCCGAATTTGATTCCCGCCCACGGCAAATATCAGTGGTGCTTAATATCTGAACCAATATGCGTGCAGCCCATGTGAGTGTTTAGGCTACGCAGCTTGATCTGTGTGTGTGTGCATGTGTGTGCGTTACACTAATATAAATAGAACTTGTGTGTATATTGTATGTATGTATGTTGAGCTTCTTTCGCACCGGACAGAGCCAACTGTGCTCATTGGAGGTGCGGAATATTACACCCATCACGTAACAAAACATCTCGGAGTGCAGCTCTTTAGCCAAGGAGAGCCCCTGAATATACCAATTTTTCTGCTCTTTTTCCAAAGAAAGCCTCGCTGAGCCTCATGACACTTTTTCAGGACACAGCATGCGTGTGTTTTCTAATTGTCGTTTTCGGAGCCAATTTTACAATTTGCCAAATTTGTATCGTGACGCCAACGCACATTTGCCTACTTTTCTTCGAATGACGTCACAGATAATAATCATAACCATTGCCGGATTGGAACCACGATCCCCTGCAACAAGCGACGAACGCGTTGCTACTGCCGTTCCGCATCACCGCCCCCCCCCCCCACCGTCGGCATCTCATCCCTGCCCACCCGCGTCCTCGCTCTGCTGCAGGTGCACGAGCTGCAGGAGGACCTGGACGCGCACGAGCGGGCCCTGGCCGCGAAGGATCAGCACAATGAGCTGCTGCAATCGCAGCTGGAGGCGGCACTCGCCAAGATCTCGCCGCCGATAAACCCCGTGCCCAGCTCGCAGTACCAGTGCCCCATCTGCAACTACTGCGCGCCGGACTACGACACCATCGAGATCCACGTGCAGAGCTGCATCACATGAGCGTCCCATGCCCAGTGGTGGTGGTGGTGGCAGCGGCCGTAGTGGAAATATTTTGACCCCAACTCACAGCAATTTGGACCACGGTGGATCCAGAATACTATGCCTGTTTTTGACCCCGAGTTTGGTTTATGTTTTTGGTAATGTGACTCCCACACTGCGGGGATATAATACCCCTCCGCTTCCTGAGGGTTGGCGATACTATTGGTTACTGTCAGGGTCAGAATTACGGTGAGAATTCTAGCCGGTCCCCCAGCTCGCCCCCTCCCCGGGAATCCGAATTAGGCTGTGGGGTTAAACTACCACAGGGGGTAGAGTTCAAATAATATATCAAAATCTGACCCAGGGTCAGAAGTCCATGGGGATCGAAGTACTATCTCCCACCAGACTGCCGGTCATGGCGCGCGCATGTGTACGTCTGTGCGTGTGTGTGCGTGCGTGCGTGTCCGTGCCGTTTTGTATGCCGGTCGGCACGGGTTGCTGCTCGTCCGCATAACTAACCATCACCGCCACCGCAGCCTCCATTGCCAGGCGTTGCGCAGGAGTGCTTGGCGGGGATTGAGGTCGAGGTCGTCGTGTGATTTGCGTTACCCACTCGTTGCTTAAGATGAATAGTTACGCATTTTGATTTAAAGCTGTCGTGACTGCAGGGATTCATATTCTTGGTTCTTTCTTTTATTGTTTCCCTTCTACGTGACTTTACCGAAAGAACCAAGAATATAGTTACGCATTTGTTTTACACGTCCCAATCGTTCGCGCTTACGATTCGCATCAGTGACTTTGGCAGCGTTGCGTTGAAGCTAGTAGGGGTGTGGTGAATGTGATTGTTTCAAGTGAGAGGGAATGTTTTTAAAAACAACATTTTTTTTAATGGGGCAATAGAATCAAACTAGACGAACGGTCGTTCATGCAAGACAATGGCGATACTAATTATTAACTGATATTTTGTTTATTTTACCAGGTAAGACCCACTGAGCTATAGAGCTATTTTTCAGAAGCGACATGGCCACAAATGATGGCTCTACGAAGTGGCTTATCGCGTGAAAATTTACAGCAGGTGAATACTCTACACGCATGTTTCTAAATGTGAAGGGGAAAATCCGGAAGACGAGAAAAATCCACGTGGCCACAGGGAGAACATGCAAACCCACGAGGTGCAAACCACAAACTAGTGTCACCGTTCAAATGAGATGGAGTAGGACAGCCAAAACAAGACAACCAAGACCAGCCGTTGAGATGGTACGAGAGAATCCAGCCTCGATGCGGAGTCGCTGGATGGAGGGGATGGTGGTGTGGTGGTGATCGGTACACGCCGAGTCTGCACCGTGGTGCGTGTGGTCGACGGGACCAGCCGCCGCTGCGTGCACGTACCGCACTCTACGCACGTAACGTGTGACTTTGTGCGGGGTGGGAGCGGCTTCACTGACTTCACCAGAGCTCGGTTTTAGTTGCGTCCGATCGCGTGGCCTAAACCCGAACCACCCGGGACGCGCCGGGTCTCACCCGATCTCGGAAAGTCAATCAAGGGTGGAACCTGGCTAATGCTTGGATGGGCGACGGCCGCGTGCAAACAGGCGGTCAAAGGTCACTGCGGGGCAGTGCGCCAAAACCCGTTGTTGCGCAGTACAGGCGTGCCTCGCGACCAATTTGTTCGCAAAACGGGCAAAAAGTTTGCTTAGCGAGTGGAGACCGACCAGTCTAATGCGACTTGTGACGGCAGGGAGCGCACTGCGGCCCGCAGCTGTTTTGCAGCTGCGCGCTGTGTGCCCGCGTGATTCGTCGCGTTGAAGGGGGTGGCATCGTGGTGGCACTAATGGAAGGGTGGGGGGGGCGGCGCTAATTGCAGATGCTCAGGACAGGAAGTCGCGCTCCATCTCGCATGGAGCGCGACATCGTGGCTATGAACCCAGCAAACCCGGTTCAATTTCAAGCCACGGCCGAGTGATATTTTAACCAGCGGGCCCTGCATGGCCCCTGCTACTACTCCCTCCACTCGCGAACAACTACCCTTTAAACAACATGCCAGGCACCTGCAAGCACTGTGGTTCTTCGTGTGGCATGGGTTACATTTGATGTTTTATTAATAAATTTCAAATTTTTATTTGTATTTCTGATGCCAATTGTAAAACGACGATCGTTTAACGAGTTTTCGCTTTCCAAGCAATTTTTGCGCAACGCATCTCGCTCATGGAGCGAGACACGGCCCGTAGTTCATTGCTCCCACGGCCACGCGCCCTCCCTTCACGGAGTCCGCGCGGCCACGTGTGCTCAAACAACAACAACAAACAACCGCCATTCGCCACTAAGTGGCGATGACGTTACCAGGGCGCTTGTCAGGCTAGGTGCACGTTAAGGCCACGTGAAGTGTCGAACGCCCGCTGGCAGGAGGTCACGGGGCAGACCCATGTGCCATGTGGTCAAACAGCCCCCCAACGACCTGCGCGGCGTGGGGACGCCTTCATCCAGCAGCGGGATCGATGAGCGGGGCCGTGCACGTACGTGTGCACGGGTGGTGGTACTTTAACACACGGTGTGACGTCTTCTCGGCAGTGGGACTGTGCAATATATACTCGGTGGGGGTGACTACGTGCTGTCGGTGTTGTGTAATCATTAAATGCTATAATGGTTCGCTGTGTATGTCAGTGGGTGTCATAAGCCAGTTTCACCAGTTGGAGAGGTCGCGTGATTTGCTATAATGCAAATTAAGTGAATCCTGCGATACGAGAATATGGTGACCACAACAACATGGTGACCACGAGCTGGGGGCTACCGACTGGCATTGCATCGGTGCTAGAGCGGCCGACTTGAGCCGGCAGCCGACTTCTCGTGGGAGGGGGGGTTCAGGGTTGCGCAATGCCTTGTCAAGGTGCAATGGTTAAAAATACAGTTCACACCGTCACCGAGTGTGGACAACGGACAAGTTTGAAAGGCATCGAGTAGTCCTTTGATGTCACCTTTCCGGCGCCTGTTTAACACGGGTGACCGTTGCACTGTGCTCTGCAAAATTATTTTATTATGTTTTTGCGTATAAAAAACATTTTCGTGGGGATTTGTTCCCCAATTTTATTTCCGATTTCGCCATTGGCATACGGTCAGATCGCCCGCAGAGCAATGCGCGACCCACTGTCTTAAGAGAACGTCCCGTGGAAGTGGATCTCGCAGAGCTCCATCTGAATCTGTGTGGCGTCTTCAGTACCGGGGATTGGAGGAAAAAGACATGAAAGGGCCAGGTGTGCGCTTCCAAAAACACGACGTGCGCCTTCGTCGTCAAACTTTATTTCACATTATTTTACAGAATAATCCCCAGGTTACAGTCGGGTGTAGGGTGCAGTTATCCCCGCAGCGACCCCACAAAAAAGTGGTAGGTCAGCGCCCGTCGGGCGACCTTGTGGGGCCATGCTGAGGGCCGCGGGCCTAAGGGGGCGCCATCGAGCAAGCCGCCCTGGTATGGGTGCCTCGGCTCGGGTGTGAAAGGCACAGAATCCCGACGGACACAGCAGCTGGCGGTACTCGGACGTCTTCCAGGTGGCGGCGGCGGCAGCAGCAGCGGCGGCGGCATTGACTTGGCAGCAATAACACCCCTTTTCCACTGGTGCATCCGAGCCAAGCCAGCGCAGGGCCTCTGACAGTACATGTTTTTTTTCCCCGAGCCAAACCAGAACCAAACCGTGCTATGCTGGCCTCGCAAGAAAACCCGTGAATCTGGCTCGGGGCCGAGCAGGGCCAAGGGGCTCGGTGAACCACTTTTGTGATGTTGCATCGCTACACCCGAACATGTGACGCTGACATTACGCACCGCGTTGCCAAGTCGGCGGCACGGTTCAGCTTCTTAAATGGGAAAAACCTGGTGCCTACTGAGCGGCGCCGGGCTGGCTCGGCCTTGCCCCTTGGCATTGCTCGGTTGTGCAGTGGGGGAAAAAAAAGAGGTATATACAAGACGGACAGCAGCTATGCCCAGGTGGTTGTAGGCAACCGTGTGCAGGGAAACGGACGTGCGAACACGTCCCTTGCATTGGAATTCTATTACATCATAGGATTCCAATGCAGGAACACTATTGCATGATTGGCGATCGCTCGCTAAAGTGAGGCATTCCCTCGTTAAGGCAGTCAACTGTTGGTACTCACACACACACATGCACTATATTGTTCGTGCGTCAATTAGAACGCCGCATGGGAGCCATCAGTTCCATACCCATATATCGTCGTGCAGGATATAGTGGTTAGCGTGCCGAGTTCGATTCCTGGGAAGCGATATCTGAACCGGTCCTGGGTCCTGGGTCCACCCCCCCCCCCTCAACAAGCCGTTTCACCAACGCACAATGTCCAATGTGGTAAAGTATGGTCAAACAAGCCCCATGACCGATGATACATTGTGGGGTGGGGATGCCTTCAGGAGTGGGTTGGCAAAGGTCTGGGAATGTTAGTTTTTTTAACTCTCACGTTTCCACTGTGTGTGCGTGTATATATGTCTATGGAACTTGTGAGTCTAGGAAACGGCATGTGATCACACAGCCCAGGCTCAACGGACTGGGTCAGAGCATCTGAATAGTTTGCAACTATTCGGTTTCCAACTATTCAGATGCGGGGCCTCTAACAACACAATTCATGGGGCTTGTAGTTGGGCGAATGGCATTGGCACTCGGCACAATCCAAGAACCCTGCCACCCCCTCGCCCACCACCCACTCCTGCCAAGAAAAATCCAAGCGGCAGCACTGGAGCAAGAGGCAACTCTCCAACACGCGGGCAGCGGCTCGCGTATGCTCGCGGGAAAAGTCAACGAAAAATGCTGCCCATCGGCGGTTTCGTTCAGAGCTGCCGCTCGCTCGCTCGGCGGCGGCGACGCGGTGCCCACGCTGACCTGCAAACGCTACGACGGGCAAAATCGGTTACCGTCAGAAGCCGCCATGAGAACGGAGGACGCGGCTCGACACCTTCACCCTTTCCCGGCGCGAAACCACGAACGCGGCTCCATAGATGAATGGACGCTAGCTTTGCATTACCAGCGATCTAAAAATCTGGGCCACCCCCTCCTCGGAACTCCATGTAATCAAGAGTTGACCGTTGTGCGACTCGGGCTCCCACCTGAGGTTTAAAAAAAAAACAATTTGAACATTCCCGAGGAAGAAGACCGCAGAGTTGCAATTAGAGGGGAGGAGGTACGTGTAATTGCATTGTCTCGAGGGGTGCGTTACTGTTATTGCGCAACTGACAAACACTGGAACTTTTTAATGTCCTGGGTATAATTACCAGGACAGCAGCTGCCGTATTCTTTGGAGTATAAGCTGCACATTTTCTTTCCCTCTATTTTCAAGCGAGGGTTTGAGGGTGCATATTATAATGCAGTGGGTGCATAGTGAAATTAATTAAACTTTATTGGGTGTGTCTTACTCCGGTAGGTGTATATATGTGACCAGCTTTATATAACTTTTTTTTGCCTACGTGTGTTCTCCTTTTAGGAGCGTCTCAATCCAGGTAATACGATACCTCAAATAAGAACTCGGTCCTGGAAAAAACAGGAACTGGTGGCAACTCTGCATGTACCACCCGTGCGTACAGCCGATACGAAGGCAGCCGAGTATTAAGTGCCAGGTGCGGGCATTTATTTCCGCTGTCGTACTCGTGCTGTAGTGGAAACTTCTTCCGAGCGTTTAGGGGGCGGCTGACCGCTGGTGTGTCGTGAGGTCACGGTGGTGGTACCGGCGACTGTCCCTTAGGCCAGGGCAGCGCCGTTAGCTAGTGCTGAGCGCGCTGTGCAAGGCCTCGGCCTTGTCTTTGAGGGCGCGTAGCTCCCGTTCCACCGCGTCCGTCAACGCCTTGCGCACCTCCACCTGTGAACACGCATTATCAACAGCAGTAGCAGGAGGCATGCACAATCCACTGCTAGCTGAAGGCTACCCCAAGCCGTCACCTTTTCTGATAATCACAATAATTTGTTATCGATGGAGCATCTTATATTCACGCCGGGGCGTCTCGAAGCGATTTACACCCGGTACGTGACTTTCATTTCATCTCAACACATTTCAATGGGCACCCCCAGTGGCACCCAGCTGTACCTGTGTGGCACATGGGCATCCGTCTTATCAGTAGGGGGCGATGACTGCTATGTGTACGGGAAACGACCAGGATGACTCATTCGCAAGCGCAGTCACCCATGTGACAAAAGCCTCCGTTTTTCCACGCCCACCCTCGCTCACCGTGCTGTGGTTGTCGCGGCGCAGAGTCTCGTGGAGGTTTCTCAAAGTGAAGGGTTTGCCGACGAGAACCGTGACCCGCTGAGACGACAGTGATCGGGCAACACACAGGCCCACACAGCGCCACCACGGCATGCGCAACGATTCACCAGTTAGCATGCATTCCTCACGGCTCGCGGTTCCAACATCGCAACAGTTATTCACAGACTGTTCGTTTTAGGTTCATGGAGTGGTACAGAACAAATGAGAAAAAAAATGAGAATACAAATGAGATGGAATAAATGACGCAACAATACATATAACACACAAAGGTGTTTCTCACAAACAGGGCACGGCTGCCATGTCTCTTGTGTGCATGTCATGTGATCACCACATTTCTTGTACAATGCTATTGGCCTTGTCTGGCCCACCGACTTAAAAGATCTGGAGGTGTGGCCATAATTATTGTTTTTGACAAATACAAGCAAGACGGGACACACACGGGAAGGACAAAATGAACCCCGCGGAATGTATGAGAACGTACAAGACCAAGAGAATGATGGAGCATACGGGGAGACGCTGCAAATGAGGGAGGTAAAATGAAATTCTTAAATGGATTGGTGACTGAATGGTAGCGATGATCCACCGATGGAAGTCACGGGCCGCGACTCATGACCTTGCTGACAGAGCCTGAGACTGGCTCGATGGATGCGTGGCTGGCAAATGAGTGGGAGAACGAAGGAGGGCGGTAGTGTGCAGGGCCGCAACTCACCTGCCCTCGCCGAGGGACGTACGGGGGTTTGTTGGGGAGGACGTCGTTCATTCCTGATCCGGGCGTAGGGGGGAACAAAACACAACGATGAGTGCAAATGTTTACCGATCCCTGTGCATCCACTGTTGGATGATGCTTGACGGGGTGTTATAGTGGAGCATGGCAATGCGTGGCAGGGTATAACTATTGTGTGTAATTGTGTGTGGTGGGAGTGTTGGGGAGGGGTGGACTCACCGACGTGCCACAGCGGGAGGATGATGGGAGTGAGCCGACATTCCGCTATGAGGCGGCCGACACCTGCACGGTGGTGAACACACCACCACACGCCATCACACACCATGCTGCACCACACACACCATCGTCGATGGCCACACCGGTGAAGGTGACGTGATATGCCAGAATGACTAAGGCAATCGTCGCTTGCAACTGTCACCAGCAACAGTTGCTGGAAGTTTTTCTGTGAAAAAAATTACTTTTAGTCGCCCAAATATGGACAAATCCGATCTCACGGATAAAACTTCCAATCAAATCACAGACATCGCAGGTTGGGGTCACGTAATAACCCCAGGTTGCATGCTCCATAGACCAATTCCTGTTCATCACACTTCTTAACAAACTAATTTATTTGGCCAGACTCAACTCCGTCGCTCCAGATCATTGCCGTGCCAAATCACCACCGTCGCTCATAGCAAACGCGGTGTAAATGCGTTGCGTTGTAAATGAGTTGCCGGTGACAGTTTCCGGCAGTGATTGCCCAAAGTGCACGGTGGCCACGAGGGGTGGCGTGACATCGCGCAGTCGAAAAGCACTCGGCACGGCCCTCGGGACACAAAGCTTGTGTTCTCCAGGCCGACGCGGAGAGCCGCCCATTCTGTGCCTCGGTCCTTGATGCGACCGTGAGTTTCATGACCCCATCCCCAGCAAAGCGGCGTCGGCGGCAGCAAGACCGGGCACGTACCCCATTTAATCCGGATCATGTCTTGGCTCATGTTCACCTTGCCTGGGGAGACAAAGGCAATGCTCAGCGGTCGACACGAATTCTGCGTTCGGTGAACTTTATTCACGGTGCGTCTGACGAGGGCGTCTCTCCTCGTCCAACTCCCCTTCTGCTCTCAGTCGCAGCTACTGTTGCCCACTGGACCCACTTGTCAAAGTCACACTGACCTCCCGCTGCCAGCGATGGACTTTCCACATTCTTATGGAGTGACAACAACTGTTGACGTTCCCACAAAGCGGTACTCGCACACAGAATTTCACGCACAGAAACTCCACGCACACTCTCGTACCCGACACATCTCAGATTGGCACTGTCAGCTATGTACGTTGCGAAAGAAGTTCAATGTGTACGTAGCCATGCATGCTAACGCCACACTCGCGCCACACTCACTCAATCACTCCCGCTCTGCAAAAACGGAGAGAAAGTACAAACTCCACACACAAAGGAACCCGAGTAGGGCATCAAACCCATTCCCCCGCCCCCCCCCGCACGCTGTGCTGTGCACCGGCTGGGGACGGCCGTGTCAGGCGAACGTAAGAACCTTCAGGGAAGATGTGGACCCAGTCTCCACGGTTCAGCTTCTCCACGAGGAAGTCCATGCCGTGCTGATAGACACCGTCACCTGCAGCCGCACACGCGCAGACACAGCACCCAGACACGGCCGCACCGCCGTCGCCTCGTTCGTGCGCCCAACGCTCTCCAGGCGAGATAAAAGGCGCCGATGCATGAGCTCTGTCCGTCCGTGTATAACGGGGGTCGAGATAACTCTCGTCAAGACGGTCCAATATGATTAAAAACTTTAGCGTCAAGTGGTGGTGCTGTTAGGGACTCGCCCAGAGAAAACCAGATGCACTGATTAAAGCGTTATTGCCAAACACTAGGGGTGACAAACCAGAGCAAAAATAAACATTCGCAAACGCACTTTGTCCCGACAGCTAAACAGAAAACCCACACGTGATTGGCCACCAACGTTTCTCTTCAACGCTCTCCACCTACGGATGGAGCAACATTGCATGAGCTCCGTAAACTGTAGTGGAGCGCCGTGATGTTGCTCATAAAGAGTCGCCATTACGAACAATACTCACTCTGGCATAAGAGTGCATTGTTGTTGGGGACTAAACTAAAACTATTCAACAATTTGTATTTTACCAGGTAAGGCCCACTGAGCTGTATAGCTCTTTTTCAGAAGAGACCTGGCCACAAATGATAGCTCAACGAAGTGGCTTATCGTCGTGTGGAAATTCAAAGCAGCCCAAATACTCTCAAAACACAATGATTCTAAATGTGGAGGGAAAACCGGAGGACCCGGAGAAAAATCCACGCGACCACGAGGAGAACAAACTCGAAAATAGGATCGGGTTCAAAATCACGACCTCCCGTATACCAGGCGAGCTATTTAACGTGCCGCTACCGTGGCGTGGAGAAACCCGCCCACATTGATGAAAGCGTTGCGGCAACGCTCGGTGTGCTGCTGCTGTTGCGGCCTCACCGCGGCACACCGGCACGCATTTCCCCAGGCTAAAGAAGCGCGAGTGCAGCTCCTTGGTGAAGCAGATGTCGGAGGCGGCTGGGGTCCTGGGGGGGGGAGGGGGGTGCAAGAGCGTGGCAGCAGTTTGGGGGGTAACCACCGTCACTCGGCTAATTACGTCTGGAACGATCGAGGCAGAGCAGGGCAGAGCGCACGAGACAAACGGTGCACACGATACGCGCAGAACCGTGCCGATCGACCTCTGATTGTGGGTTCGGCCACGTGGTGATTTTAAGCCAAAATTCTTGTCGTGAACGCTCAACCACCCGACAGGACGGTCACGTTTACAAATGTGTTGTTTATACGTGCGGATGTACTCGTCAAATTCCGACCGATACAGATCTAAGAATTTCCAACGCACGAGAATTTGAGGCATAAACTACGACGTGGTCTCACCCAAAAACAGATATGGATCGTGGAATTGTCTACAAAACCCTGTTTTGAAATCAAATACATCCTCGAATCGAACTGCGATCCCAGATCACGAAAATTCATGGGATCGTCAGAGATTGAATCACTGTGCACCTATTGACCACCGACTTATTCCTTAAGAGCCACACGTTCTAAAACTAAGCGCAGTCACAATCAATACGATAACCACTGATTGTATCACGATGGCGATTGTGAAGTTAGGACTGCGAGGTTGCTGCCTGGTTTGTGGAACTTCCCTGAACGCTACTCACCACCTCATCAGCTTTTGGTTCCACAGCTGCTTGAGTTTCAGGGACCCTGCCATGAGCATGACACACCACACAACACACATGTAACACAGCACGTACGTGCGAGGTGAGGCTCCTTCAAAGATCACTCCCGCGTTGGGGCTCTCGGGGTCCTGTCTCTTCCACTGCACAACCGAGTAGCGCCAGCGGGAGGTGCCAGATTGTTTTTCCCCACTGCAAAAAGCCGAGCCGTGGCGCTGACGTCACGCGCAACGAACGTGTCGTTAGCCCTGGCCCTGCTTGGCCCCAAGCCAGATGCAACCAGTTTGCTTCTGGCTCGGCTCAGGAAATAGCCTGCGGAAAGCTAGGACGCCATGAGGGCCCCACGCTGGCTCGGATCGGAGGTGACAGTGGAAAAGGGAGCAAGGCTCCCAGGGAGGCAGGGGGGGCAGCCTCGTCTGATCATAATGGCGTCAATGCCCACTGGGGCTGATGGGGGCCTAAACAAAAAACTCACCTCTTGTTCCCACGTGTGCCGCTGGGCGTGGCCTGTAGGGGGTTTCCTGCCTTCGGGAGACAGGATGTCGGGGGTGCTCGCCATTTTTTAATGGGGCCGAGGAATCGAACAAGTCGTCGATTACGAACTCTTTGTCGATTAAACAAGTTCATCGACCCACCCCTGTGCCAGTCTCACCACACAGGTGTCGGGGCAGTTGCTCACCCCACAGGTGAGGGTCGTCCATGCACGAGGTGTGGTTGGCGAGCGTGATGAGCGGAGTTCCGGGCGGCCGCTCCTGCAGGGCCTCGTTCAGGGCGGCCGTGTTGTGAACCTCCAGCCGGTTCACCACTCCTGCGGGCAGCGGGAGCCCCAATGAAGGGTCAAGCAAATGCTGTCTGACCAGGTGAGAACTCCTAGCTAGGTGAGAACGCCTAGCCAGGTGAGAACTCCTAGCCAGGTGACAACTCCTAGCCAGGTGAGAACTCCTAGCCAGGTGAGAACTCCTAGCCAGGTGAGAACTCCTAGCCAGGTGAGAACGCCTAGCCAGGTGAGAACTCCTAGCCAGGTGAGAACTCCTAGCCAGGTGAGAACTCTTAGTCCAGTAAGAACTCCTAACCAGGTGAGAACTCGTAGTCCAGTAAGAACTCCTAGCCAGGTGAGAACTCCTAGCCAGGTGAGAACTCTTAGTCCAGTAACAACTCCTAACCAGGTGAGAACTCTTAGTCCAGTAAGAACCCCCAGCCAGGTGAGAATTCCTAGCCAGGTGAGAATTCCTAGCCAGGTGAGAACTCCTAGCCAGGTGAGAACTCCTAGCCAGGTGAGAACTCCTAGCCAGGTGAGAACTCCTAGCCAGGTGAGGACTCTTAGTCCAGTAAGAACTCCTAGCCAGGTGAGAACTCTTAGTCCAGTAAGAACTCCTAACCAGGTGATGACTCTTAGTCCAGTAAGAACTCCTTGTCAGGTGAGAACTCTTAGCCAGGTGAGAACTCCTAGCCAGGTGAGGAATCTTAGTCCAGTAAGAACTCCTAACCAGGTGAGAACTCTTAGTCCAGTAAGAACTCTTAGTCCAGTAAGAACTCCTAGCCAGGTGAGAACTCCTAGCCAGGTGAGAACTCCTAGCCAGATGGGAACTCCTAGCCAGGTGAGGACTCTTAGTCCAGTAAGAACTCCTAGTCAGGTGAGAACTCCTAGCCAGGTGAGAACTCCTAGCCAGGTGAGAACTCCTAGCCAGGTGAGGACTCTTAGTCCAGTAAGAACTCCTAGTCAGGTGACAACTCCTAGTCCAGTGATAACTCCTAGCCAGGTGAGAACTCCTAGCCAGGTGAGGACTCTTAGTCCAGTAAGAACTCCTAGTCAGGTGACAACTCTTAGTCCAGTAATAACTCCTAGCCAGGTGAGAACTCCTAGCCAGGTGAGAACTCCTAGCCAGGTGAGGACTCTTAGTCCAGTAAGAACTCCTAGTCAGGTGACAACTCCTAGTTCAGTAATAACTCCTAGCCAGGTGAGAACTCAAGGGACCTGGATCGGCTCATTTGCAAGCGTGAACTGAGTCACCAGAATAATCTAAAAATAGTTGCGCTATGAAGTGGAGAAAAAGCTAAATGTGACTCACAATTGATTTTCGGGGTTAAGCCACGTAACGATCTGAATAAGATTTGTGTCGTCAGGACCATACCCACCACCCAAACACGGTCCAACATACTGAACCGTTACGTTGGCGTTCACGCGTTACGCGGGGGTGCCGATTTATGATCGTCTCGGTTTCGATCCGGCGAGGTTGAACAATTCCCGCGGCGTCTCGCTCGCAGTGGAATTAAGGGAGTTGGCGAGCCACGCCAGCCCGACAGCACGGTGTCGTGTAGCCCACGGTGTCGACTGTTGGGGCAAGTGCCGATAGAGCGAGCAGCGCCTATGGAGGGCCGGGCGCTGAGGCACGCGACACACCGCTAAAGAACACTCAAAGTGAGGCTGAGTCGCCCCAAGCGAGGCCCAGGACCGGTTCAGACGCTCGTCACCGCTGGCGTCGGTGGCCGTGAGCAGGAGTCGAACTTGGGTGGCCGGGTTCGTAGCGCTGCGCTAACCGCCGCTACAACCGCCGCTCCCCGCATAACAACAACCACCGCCGCTCCCCGCATAACAACAACAACCACCGCCGCCGCAGCAGCAGATTCCCCGAGCCCTCCCCGCGGGACTCACGCATCCACAGGCGGCTGTAGGAGCCGACGAGTCCCATCACCACCATGCTGGCCGCGCGCCACGCGGCCCCGGGCTCCCCCCGCGGGAACGGCCACTTCACCTGCAGCGGCATCGCAGCATCACGGGGCCACCACCAACCACCGCCAAACGCCACCACCACCAACACCTCTGACCCCTGCCGCCCACAAACTCGGCTGATACAGTGACCTCCACGTGTGAAGGATTGCGAGGTCGTGTCGATGTGATGGCGACAGGTCCGTTGTATTGCTGCTGCTGCTGTGTGCGTGTGGTGGTTTACTGTTATAAGTTTTGTTTGGGTCGAGGTGTAAGCCGTGTCGAGGTGTTCCTGTTGAGAATGTGCAGTTGTTCGAGTTATTGCAAAGGTGTGAGTTGTCTGCGGGTTTTTGTTAAGTTTGATGGCTCGGCCTAAAGGCTGTTGTGTCGTTGTGTGTTCGTGTATAGCTGTTATTTCGTTGAAGCACGGGTGTAATGTGTGTTGTATTCGTGAGTAGGAGTGGCTGGAGTGTAGGTGATGGCGTAGTGGTTGTTTTGGTTGTTGTGGTCTGTGTGGTTGTAGTCTGAGTGGTGGTTGTAGTTTGTGTGTGGTTGTTGTAGTCTGTGTGATGGTTGTAATCTGTGTGGTTGTAGTCTGTGTGGTTGTTGTTGTAGTCTGTGTGGTTGTTGTAGTCTGTGTGTGGTTGCTGTAGTCTTTGTGTGATGGTTGTAGTCTATGTGGTTGTTGTAGTCTGTGTGTGGTTGTTGTAGTCTGTGTGTGATGGTTGTAGTCTGTGTGTGATGGTTGTAATCTGTGTGGTTGTTGTAGTCTGTGCGGTTGTTGTAGTCTGTGTGTGATGGTTGTAGTCTGTGTGGTTGTTGTAGTCTGTGTGTGATTGTTGTAGTCTGTGTGTGATGGTTGTAGTCTGTGGTTGTTGTGTCACGTGTCCCCGCTTCTTCGCGACCCCAGCTCTGTGACTTTTGGCCCACACCGAGGAAAGCGTCGCAATGCGCATGCGCGGAACCGTCTCCAAAGACGCACATTGGTGTCAAAAACAGCTCACAATAACATTTTGTTTTTACTATTCAAACTTGAATATCATTGCTGTCGTAAATGATCAAAAAAACACATTTTAACGATCAATGTATATTTTTAATATCGTATCAAGTGAACGGTAATAAATATTCGTGATGTCATCTTCGGTGTGTTTTTTGTCGGCCATCTTACACGAGGCCGCCAAATGTGAACTCAAAGGCATCGTTCGCGTCGCCGCGTGATGACGTCGCACTGCATTAACAATAGGGCGGGGGGTGAGGCGGTAGGGGGCGGTGAGGCGGTAGGGGGCGGTGAGGCGGTAGGGGGCGGTGTGTGAGGCGGGGGGGGTGTGAGGCGGTAGGGGGCGGTGAGGCGGTAGGGGGCGGTGTGTGAGGCGGGGGGGTGTGGAAGGTGGGGGGCCGGGCAGAGGGAGTGTGGCGGGCGGGGGCGCCTTCCCCTTGACTAACACGGCCGCAGATTTGTCTCGACGACGACGACGAACCACCGCGCCGCCCTTTTACCCAAGCGGGCAAACTCGTCGCCTGTACACCCGCGAGCCAATCGGAGTGGTGGTTTGCCGCCTTGAAGTCCGCACGCAGCTCGGCCAATGGGACGTTGGGTTGACGTTGGGGGTGGACTAGTTGGTGATACAATCAATTCGAAGTGCGACGGAATCGCCAATCGTTCAGATATTAGCCAATCAAAAAATGAGGGGGGGGGGGGGACCGTGTCACGCGACGCCATACGACCCAATGGAATCACTCGATCCGTGAATCGATTGGGGATGGTTCGACACGACGATTAACCCGCTAGTTCACGATCGACTTTGAGCTGGCTTTTGCCGGGAATCGGCTGAGCGGAATCGATACGATTTAGCGTCGATTCACGATTCCGCGAGAAGCCATATACGGGGGGCCAACATCATCACCGATCGCATGTTTGCTTCTGGCTGTCCCGATTTGTTGCATTCACAGGCGCCGGGGGTGAAACGACGACCACCACCACCACCACCCACAACCACCCCCCACCCAGAGCCACCTCCACACCCAACAACCTGTGCCCCCTTCCTCGCCGCGATTGGCCGAGTGCGGGGATCCAATCGGATGCGCCGACATTGAGGGACTCGCGGGCCCCCACCCCGGACAGGAGTTGCGAGCTCCGTGGTGAGGAATCAAAACAACAGGCGGATTCCGCTCCCGAGTCGTCGGGTTCGTAGAGGCGACGGTCAAGTTGGGGGTATAGGGGGGGGTAGCGAGGCAGCGGCTGCTGCTGCTGCGGTGCTGGGTCCAAAGCGTGGCGCTGGGCGGTGACGCGAGGGCGGGCAGCGGGGAGGGCGACTCCGCCTCACGCAATCAAAGCAGAGGGAGCAGCAGCAGCAGGTTACCTCAGTACGAACACTCACTCTTACTAGCACTCACTCTACTACCCCTCTACTACTACCACTCTACTACCACTCTACTACTACCACTCCCTCTACTACTACCACTCTACTACTACCACTCACTCTACCACTCACTCTACCACTCTACTACTACCACTCACTCTACTACTACCACTCTACTACTACCACTTTACTACTACCACTCTACTACTACCACTCACTCTACTACTACCACTCTACTACTACCACTCTTCTACTACCACTCACTCTACTACTACCACTCTACTACTACCACTCACTCTACCACTCTACTACCACTATTACTACCACTCACTCTACTACCCCTCTACTACTACCACTCACTCTACCACTCTACTACCACTCTACTGCTACAACTCTACTACTACCACTCACTCTACCACTCATTCTACTACTACCACTCTACTACTATCACTCACTCTACTACTACCACTCTACTACTACCACTCACTCTACTACTACCACTCTACTACTACCACTCTACTACTACCACTCTACTACCACTCTACTACTACCACTCCCTCTACTACTACCACTCTACTACTACCACTCACTCTACTACTACCACTCACTCTACTACTACCACTCACTCTACTACTACCACTCTACTACTACCACTCCCTCTACTACTACCACTCACTCTACTACTACCACTCACTCTACTACTACCACTCACTCTACTACTACCACTCACTCTACTAACTCACTCTACTACTACCACTCTACTACTACCACTCTACTACTACCACTCTACTACTACCACTCTACTACTACCACTCTACTACTACCACTCTACTACTACCACTCCCTCTACTACTACCACTCACTCTACTACTACCACTCACTCTACTACTACCACTCACTCTACTACTACCACTCACTCTACTACTACCACTCGCTCTACTACTACCACTCCCTCTACTACTACCACTCTACTACTACCACTCTACTACTACCACTCTACTACCACTCTACTACTACCACTCCCTCTACTACTACCACTCACTCTTCTACTACCACTCTACTACTACCACTCACTCTACTACTACCACTCACTATACTACTACCACTCTACTACTATCACTCACTCTACTACTACCACTCACTCTACTACTACCACTCACTCTACTACTACCACTCTTCTACTACCACTCTACTACCACTCTACTACTACCACTCCCTCTACTACTACCACTCACTCTTCTACTACCACTCTACTACTACCACTCACTCTACTACTACCACTCACTATACTACTACCACTCTACTACTATCACTCACTCTACTACTACCACTCACTCTACTACTACCACTCACTCACTCTACTACTACCACTCTACTACTACTACCACTCACTCTACTACCACTCACTCTACTACTACCACTCACTCTACTACTACCACTCACTCTACTACTACCACTCACTCACTCTACTACCACTCACTCACTCTACTACTACCACTCACTCTACTACCACTCACTCACTCTACTACCACTCACTCTACTACTACCACTCTACTAACTCACTCTACTACTACCACTCTACTACTACTACCACTCTACTACTACTACCACTCTACTACTACTACCACTCTACTACTACCACTCACTCACTCTACTACCACTCACTCACTCTACTACTCCCACTCACTCTACTACCACTCACTCTACTACTACCACTCACTCTACTACTACCACTCACTCTACTACTACCACTCTACTAACTCACTCTACTACGACCACTCTACTACTACCACTCTACTACTACTACCACTCTACTACTACCACTCTACTACTACCACTCACTCTACTACCATTCACTCTACTACTACCACTCACTCTACTACCCCTCACTCTACTACTACCACTCTACTCTTACCACTCTATTACCACTCTACTACTACTCTACTACTACCACTCTACTACTACCCCTCACTCTACTACTACCCCTCACTCTACTACTACCACTCTACTACTACCACTCTACTACTACTACCACTCTACTACTACCCCTCACTCTACTACTACCCCTCACTCTACTACTACCACTCTACTACTACTACCACTCTAATACTACTACCACTCTAATACTACTACCACTCTACTACTACCACTCTACTACTACCACTCTACTACTACCACTCACTCTACGTCCCCTCACTCACTCTACTACTACCACTCTACTACTACCACTCACTCTACTACCCCTCACTCTACTACTACCACTCTACTACTACCACTCACTCTACTACCACTCTACTACTACCACTCTACTACTACCACTCACTCTACTACCCCTCACTCACTCTACTACTACCACTCACTCTACTACTACCACCACTCTACTACTACCACTACTACCCCTCACTCTACTACTACCACTCACTCTACTACTACCCCTCACTCTACTACTACCACTCTACTACTACCACTCACTCTACTACCCCTCACTCACTTGACCCACTCCACTACCCCCACTCTCCCCTCCACTCTATTCTGCACTCACTCCTACCAACTCCGTAACCATCGCACAGCCTCCTAGACACCATCCCGATAGAGCTCTAGTGCTTACTGTAGATAACTTACTATCCTCTCTACAGTAAGCCGCCCACTCATCGGTCGGATAGCTATTGTGTTTGCTATGGGGCCGTCCATAAATGACGTCACGCTATTTTGGACGATTTTTGACCCCCCCCCCCCTTCGTCACACGACGTCACAAAAAGTCAGACCCCCCCCCCCTCAAATATGACGTCAGAAAGCTCTGCCCCCCCCAAAAAAATATAAAACATGCTTCAAATCGCTTTAAACTATTGCCATTGTATTGCTTATTTGATGTGGCGCTGCACTCTGATGTTATAGGAGAACACATTTATAAAAAAAAGTCTATTTCATTAAGTAGAACGTGTCTATTTATTTAAAGTTTCGCATTTTTGATGTGACGTTACATTTCTCAACCCCCCCCCCCTCGTCACACATCGTCACAAATATCTGACCCCTCCCCCCTCTAGGTGCGTGACGTCATTTATGGACTGCCCCTAATCACGCACCGCTGTGTTTGACGGCAGTAGTGCTCCCTAATAGCTTACTCGCCACTTCCCGTGCTTGCTAATTGCCCGTGGTGCTTACTCGGCACGGCACTTGCCGATAGTGCTTGCCGCTTATAGGCAGTGACTACGAATCATTTACTAATAGTCTTACTCATCACACATGATGCTTCACTGTGTTTGCTATATATAGCGCTGATGGATCGATCACTTTACCTACTATAGTGCTGACTGATTGCTTACTAATCAGTCGGCACGATACTCAAGTGTTGACTTCACTGATCCCTTACAAATAGTGCTTGTTGATTTTAGACTTTGAGGACTGATCCTCTTGCTGTTGTTGAAACATTGAATTTCACGTCATCATCAGCCACGGACAATCCACTGCTGGATGAAGGCCTCTGCCAATCCAGTATTCAAATCCAGCATCTTCTATAAAAACGTAGACTGGCAGGCCTCAACTTTCCATCACAACTAAAGATTCCCCATCTCAATCCCCCGCAGGTCCGTCTGCTGCCGGCTAGCACCTGGTGCCCCCCCGCAAGGAGAGAGGATCCACCTCTACCGGCCGTGAGATGGGGGACACGGACGGAGACACGGGGCCCGAGATCCGAGAGGGCTTCCTGTGCCCCATGTGTGTGCGCGACTTCCCCTCCGTGTACCAGCTGCAGGCGCACTACGAGGACGCGCACTCGGAGGACGACCGCCACGTGGTGCACCACATCAAGAGTGCGCGCCTGCCCTCGCTACGACACCGCACGTGCCCACTGCACCACGGACGTGCCCCACAGACTACGCGCCCGCCCTCGCTACGACACCACACGTGCCCACTGCACCACGGACATGCCGCATATACACCATGCCCTCACATGTGCCTGGTGGCGCGTGTGTTTAGATCTCCTCGGCAGAGCGAAGAGCAAGCTGCTGAAGAGGGACGAGAAGGTGGACCCGGGCACAGATGGAGGAGCTGACTCGGTGGCAGCAGCGGTGGTGACGACGGGAGGCATTGACACGTGGATGTGGGAGCCCCAGGAACCCGGTAGGTGGGACCGGGTCAGACCAGGTCAGATGAACTCTCGTACCCTCGGCCTGAATTTTTTTATCACTGAATATATTTGGGTCATTGGTCGACTGGAGTAGGTGGCTCATGACTAGTAGTTACCACAGCCATTATGAGAGGTATGGTGGATGTGGTGTGCCGATTGCGGATATACTTTCCAGCTCGTCGACTTTGCTGGACTTAATCCTTGGTCCCATGTAAGTCTATGAGTCCGATGTAAGTCTGTGGGTGCTTTATAAGGTTATTTAGCCCAAGTAAGTCTGTGGGTCCTATGTAAGTCTATGGTTTCATATCTACTGGGTGTGGAAATATTTTCCAAATCGCTGACCTGAACTTGCCCGGCTGGAATGAACCCTTGTCCTCACCCCGTGATCCTCCCATGAGGTTCAGTGGCTACATGGACACGTAGGGCTGATGGTTCTGCTCGTGCGTGCATCTCGTGTCACCGAGTGGAGCTGATGTTTGTTTTAGGTTTGGAACGAAGTCACTTGGACGACTTTAAGAGGGTGAGGGCGGCTCGAATTGACCGCTCCGTCATCGAGATGAACAGGCTACTCATCCGCCTAGAGAAGGTGAGTCCACCCTTCGTGGTTTCTCTCCCCATACGTAACGCCGCAACATCTAAACATGTACATGCAGAGCCCCTTGTGTTAAGCCACTGCCCGGCACGACGCGGGGAGTCCGTCGCCCTGCAGGTAGAGGCCGAATACAAAGAGCAAGAGATGTGGACTAGGCTTTACCCTATCTGGCAATAAAACAGGTGTTAAGATGTTCAAACACTAAATAGATGCCTATTGCAAAGCATCAAGTCTGCATTAGTCACACATACTTGCTCTCATAATATATACATTGTCTTTGAAACTGATTAGCCTACACCAGAGGCAGCCTTCTTAACACCTGTTTTATTTCCAGAAAGGTTAAAGCCTATTCTGATTTTCTCATCATTCTTGATACTGACAAAAATATCCCATAGATATAAGAGATGTGGACTTAGGAACCCCGTGTAGCGCATTGTCTGCCCAGAATCTAGCCATGCGGCAGCCTACAAACTCCTGTTTTGTAGTTAATGGTCGCCAATCCAAGAACTATCCAGGCTTAAATCAGCTTAGCTTCTGAGATTTGCCGCATTTCAGGTGATTTGGTGATCACTTCTTTCTGAACGGGTGATCCGGTAATTTTTTTCAAATCAAAATCTCCGCCGTAATCTTTCACAGTGCTGTGAAGACAGAGGGGAGGCATATACGTTTCTACACATGAACCCTGTCGTGGTGTGAGAGCCCACGCTGACGAAAGTTAAAGCTGAGTGGAGCAGTAATGTCTCGCTGATCATGTTTCCCACTGTTTTGTCTCCGCTTTCTCTCAATCAGCTGACGTCGTTTGATCGCGTGAACACAGACCCGGCCAAGAGGAAAGGTGAGGCCTCCGCTTTCCTTGAAATATTTCTGCACGAAATGGCGCTGCGTTCGAACAATAGCGAAAAATATTTACCCGTGCCAGTTATTCGCCCAGGGACCTCTGCTGCGCTGTCTCCACTGCCCCATACCACTCCCCTCTTCACACACGGCGGCAGCGCTTGAGCGGTTGGTGGTGACGTGGGTGAGCGACGAGGACGTGCCGTGCTGCCCCGACTGCGGCCGCGGATTTTCGGTGACGAGCCGCCGCCACCACTGCCGGCTCTGCGGCTCCATCATGTGCAAGCGCTGCACGCACTTCCTCACCGTCGCCTTCGCCGGTGCGTCCCACTCTGCTGGCTGCAAGGCACTGGCTGCGCAGCGCTAGCTTGAGTTAAAGGACGATGTAATTCGGGCGGTCAGGCGGCGCGAGGTGCGTAATTATGCGCCGATTAAAGTCTCCTCTTATGCTCGCGGTATAATTCTTCAAATCGCGCGAGTCAGAATCAATAGTTGTAATGGATTCGAATGATCTGCTAACAATGTGCGAGTGTTACAGTTCATCAACGCACCTGTATAGACCAGGGGTCACCAAACTACGGCCCGCGGGCCGCATTCGGCCCGCGACGTCAGTCCATCGGGCCCGCCGACGGTACTTGAGTTTGGATGATAAAACGTATGGAACACGAGACGTTGTGATACAATTTAAATATTATGTTTAGAATACTAGGAGATCTTCACGCGTGCGGAGACCTCCTTACTGCTATGTGCCTTAAATTTACTATTTTAAATTACTGTATCTAGATTTTCTTGTTTATGGTAATGTTTGCTTATTTCGCGTCATCCCAAGTCCTTCCCCGGCTCGTGGTAGCTCCGCCTACGCTCTGACGTTACCATGGTTTCCATGGCAACACACACAAATACGCATCTTTCCCACCCCTAAGTATTGAACAGAATGATTATGCGGCCCGAGCTCGTCATTCTATCAGTTATCCGGCCCGCTGTGAAAAAACTTTGGTGACCCCTGGTATAGACTATAGAGAGGAACAAAACAAGCCTTGTTGAACAAAATATGACGAAATATTTGACTGACGAATGGAATTGTGATAATTAATTGTGCTGTCGTGTTTGTGAAAAGCGCATTGTAGGCAAAACCGCAGGACCCACTTTACTATCTATTGACGAGTAACAGCACGACCATGAGAGACGGGCACGGTTTCATCCAGCAACATACAGACGATGAGCGCCCTAAACTTGACTGCGATCCTCCCCTCTGTGCGACGCAGACAAGCTGACGAGCGCCAACCGCGTATCGACCTTGGCTGGATCAACCGCGTCTCTGTCGGCGGCCTGGTCCGGTGGCAGTGCCGCCGGTGCCAAGGCAGCTGGCCGGCCCGGCGAGGGCGGCGGGCACCGGCGGCGCGGCAGCACCAGCAGCGTGGGTTCGTTGCTCCTGGAGGACAAGGACGACGAGCGGGTGCGGTGCTGCCGGCACTGCCGCGAGGCGCTGGTGCGGCACGAGCACCAGATGGACGAGCAGCACCACCAGCCGGCCATCGTGGCGCTCTATGAGGTGCGGGTGCCGGCAGGAGGGTCGGGATGTGGAGATGCGGAGCTGGCGCCGCTGAGATCACGGGGTGGAACCGTGGTTATTCCGGGTTCTCTAGCGTAGGGAGTGTGTGTATCAGCCTTGTCGCCATTGACTCGCATGGAGTACAAGAGACGTGCTTGGAGATGCATGGAATCACACCGAGACTCATGGACTTGCATAGCCTCGCATGGAGACTCATTGACTTACATAGACTTGGTTGTGATTAAACCCGGTTCTCAGTGGTAGAAAGTTGGTGGTCTCAGCCTTGTCACCACTGACATGCATTGAGACACATAGACTTGCATGGAGATCAATAGACTTGCGATGAAACTAGGTTGTCGAGTACAGTCTGTTGGTGGTATCAGAGACCTATAGACTCGCATAGACACCCTTTGATTTATTGACCCACCCATAGACTCACATATAGACCCATAGGCTCAGTGGTCCGTTTTTAATCTCTAACGTTCTGCTCGCACTGCCCACCTTAAACCTTCAGAAGCTGCATCAGAGCACGGTGAAGGTGGAGCAGCTGGCGCCCGAGTACGGCAGGATGGCCGACTCCCTGAAGTGAGTGGCGCCACAGCACTGCGTAGTGACGCTCCCGCCCACTCCGATCGTGACAATTCATCGCAGCGTGCGACGATCCGTCGTGCGTGACCACCCATTGCCGCACACCAAATGTTGACGATCCTGACTCACTACGCTCGTGCTGCCCTCTCCCCTCCCCTGACCGCCCCTCATCCTCCCATTTCCGCTGTACGTATGTATGTTGAACTTCTTTCGCACCATACGTAGCCAACCGTGCTAATCGGAGGTGAGTTGTTGTTGCAGCGCCGGCGAGACGACGTACACCCTGGACCAGGGCAATGCGATGCGCATGGAGCTGATGAAGCTGTACGAGCTGGTGGATGTCATCAGGTGAGTGCTGGTGTCAGAGGTTAATCGGTTCGTTAGCGTTCGAACGTGAATCGATCCATCGTTACGCGCGCGCCGAGATCTGTCCCCGCTGGCTGTGGCCTCTCTCCCCTCTAATCCCCCTCTGTGCGCCCTCCCCCCACTTTCTGTACAGCAAGAAGATCCTGAACCTGGGTGTAAAGGATGACCCCCCCCCTCATGCCAAGGCACTGAAGCTGCAGAAGATGATTCGCTACAGCGTGAGCCTCTTCGTGCAGGTGCGGAAGCTTCTGCTGCCTCCGCTAGCTGCTGCTGTCTTGTCGTCTGCGGGACGTCGTCGTCATCATTATCCCCAACATCATCATCATACTCCATGAACTATCCACTGCTGCACATGAGCCGATTTCGTCGCTCCATCGCCAGGATGAATATCCTCTGTTGGGCGTGTTCCATCATGTGGCTGTTACTCAGCGTTTAGTAATGTACAATGCATTTGCAGTGTATTGCAGATATTAACGGTACAGAGCAAATTGATAATGCATACCTTGGCTTGCACTTCCCTGTCCCCAAGGAGTTCTGTTGGGGGGTCAGGAGGGGGCTGAAGTCTATTTTTGCCCTTCCCGAGTCTACCAATTTGTGGGGCACTCGCCCCTCTGCCCCTCCACTGGCGCTGCCTTTGGCTGCCTCGTAGCTGCCGGATTGGCACCAGAACGGCGGAGGGGAGTCGGTTGGGGGGGTGGGGGGGGGGTTGCACCGTGAGCCGCCGGTGCTGTGGGGAGTTGACCGGTCGCGGGCGTCGCGCGCACGCCACAGGAGAAGCTGCTGGGGCTGCAGTCGCTGCCGACGGCCGATCGCTACGAGGAGCTGAAGGAGGGGCGGAGGCGTGAGGCGGAGAGCCGCGTCATGCAGGAGAGACAGGCGAGCGCACACAGACACACGCACGCAGACACGTGCACAGGCAGGCACGCGTGCACAAGGACAGGACGGAGATGCACAGGTACACATGCGAGTGTACAGGTGTGTGCGCGCGCATGCCTCCACGGGCAGATGCTTGCATGTGGATAGATGTGCACGAACGCAAACACACACAGACGCGTGTATGTATGTGGATACACGTGGGCAAACGCACACGGGAAGATCCACTTACGCACATGGACCTGGACACGTGCACACACGGGGACACGTGTGGACAGATGAATGCACAGAGGCAAATGCGGACACAATACACGCATGAAAACAGACACAACAAAAGTCTTAGTCACTCGTACACGACTGGGTTCATTGTGCAGCGCACAGATGACTGCTCCACCCCACCCCCTGATTTGGTACTTTCCTCGTAATTTACCCTCAAGGGAACAATCAACATCGCATTTTTCTTCACCTGCCATCGTCACATAACCTGACCATCCGAGACCCGCACGGTGACGTACGAACCACGCGCGTCTCCATTCCGAACACAGACTTCGCTCGACTCACAGCAGCAGCAGCGCCAGCAGCAGCAGCAGCAGCAGCCCCGGCGCCAACGGCCCGCGGTGGACAGTGCTACCGGGTGGCTGCCCGAGAGCGGTGTGCCGGCGTCAGGCATGGAAGGACACGGTGGCCCCATCGGCGAGTTGGACGACCCACTGCTGCAGCAGATCGCCAACATCCGCAGCTACGTGCGGCAGGCGGTGGCGGCGGGGCGCGTGGACGAGGCGCGCACGCTGCGTGAGAACCTGCAGCAGCTGCAGCAGGAGTACGATGCGCAGCAGATGGAGGTGCGGGCTCCACCCAACGCGCCCACGCCGTGCTGCCAACTCGGCGATGTTGCCGCTAGATTTTAGTGACTTTTTGGGTTCCCCTAAACGGTAAAGTTTAGTCAAAGCGACCGGCGACTTTCTAAGACGGAGACATGCTCTGATGCCTCGGGCATCTGGCCAACTATACACTTTGTTTTTAATGTGTATGCATGGATGATGTAACTCCACTTCTGCATTTGTCCTCGGGAGTATTTAACTACACGTACGGAAGCCGACGGCAGAGCTGTCGGAACAAAATGCGATCACGTATTTTCCAATAGTTTCTTATTGCCCTGGTTTTTGCCTCCTACATTTTGCGCAACACTTTGATCCCGTGTCCCTTTTGCTCTCGGTTGAGTGCCTAACAGCAATGGAACCTCACCCTGTAATTTTGTTCACAACGGATAATCTTGACGGACGTACAGAGCCGATGCTCGCTGTTAAGAGCCCAACGCTGTATGCGCTTTCTTCATCAGCTGGCGCAACGGGTGGCCCTGAAGGCCGAAGAGGACGAGGAGTTCCAGGCTCGCCAGCTTCACCTCCTCCGGGAGCGCAGCCACCGTGACAGCCCCGCGGGGTCACCAGCGAGGTCGCAGGGGCACGACCCCGCGGGGTCACCAGCGAGGTCGCAGGGGCACGACCCCGCGGGGTCACCCGCGAGGTCGCAGGGGCACGACTCCGCGGGGTCACCAGCGAGGTCACAGGGACACGACCCCACGATGGGGTCACCCGCAAGGTCACAGGAGCACGAGCCCACAAAAGGGTTGTCCGTAAGATCGCGTGGGGATGGTGCCACCGCCACAGCCCTGGCACCGTCACCGTCGCCAAGGCCGGAAACCGCACAGCCGGAACCCATGGTCCGGGGACAGCCGGAACGACCATCACCGCCCGGCGGCCCCTGGCATGACCTCTCATCGCCGACCAAGGTACCCCGTCGTGTGGGCTTCCCCGCTGTGCAGGTCTCCCTTGCACTTGACTTGTCTGAGCCGGGGTAAACAGAGGAAATCACGACTGCCAAACGCTTCCTAACAACTTGTGTTGGCGTCTTGTCAGTCCACTGCTGGATAAGGGACTCCACGTGCTGTGCTCAGTGCAAAGTTGAAGGTGGGGAGCATAGAAGTGCAGTACAACAGTCAATATCGCTGCATTGCCAGGATGCATCATCGCTCGAAGGAACGGTAAGACGGCGGTCGAGATTCACGATGGATTGGCAGCCGAGGGAAACAACACGGCCTAGAGGACGTCCATCCGTGAGACGGAGCGATGAAATTAGCTCGCGTGCAGCGACAGTTTGTGGATGCTACTACACTTTCATCCACCAGTTGATAGATTACAACATGACGCTGAAAACGCAATTGGGAAAAAGACCATAAAACCTAAAACAGAAAATATCTCCATGTCATACAGTCGTACCCCGATTTACGTCTCCCCCTTTTACGTCGTTTCGCAAATACGTCGTCACTTTATGAATACCACCTCCTGAATTACTTTGCTTCAACCCCACGCTTAAACGTCGCTGACAGCATCGTCCGTCCTTTCTCGTATCCGTCGCGTCGGCATTTGCCTCCAGTTACCTCGTAAATTTATTTGGTTCACTACGTTTCGATATTCGTCGTCGCACCTTTCAGGAACGCATCCTCGACGTGAACTGGGGTATTACTGCGTTACTCCAGTGTCGAATATGCACTGATGCTTCTTACTCATCCAGCAGTGGACTGATCTTGGCCAATGGTGATGTTGTCCGGCAGATGACGAGACAGCAGCACCCGGTGAAACGGCAGCAGCATCAGCAGCAGAGCGGAGCGATCGGTGTTCCGTGGCAAACGACGGCCCAGGTTCACGCAAGCTCACACGACGCAGGACCCCGGGCCGGCGCCGCCCTCGCCAACTCCGGCTCCTCCATCCCCTCCTCGGCGGCAGCAGTGGCGTTACCGCCAGGCTCTCGTACGGCGCATGCCACCGCCTCCTCCTCACTGCCAGCACCTAAACCCTCCTCGCTCAACCCGTTCGAGTTGGACGAGGCAGACGGCGTCGCCGGCGGCGGAAGGAGGAAGCGGGGGTCATTGGCGGAACCGATTCCGGTTCGGGGCTCCCCAGACGGGAACCCCTTCGCCCAGACACCGTCCCCAAAGAAAACAGGTGCCGGTCGGCACGAGGCGCCCAATGGGAGCGGAAACCCATTTGAGGAGGAGGAAGTCGGTGCCAACGGCCGGAGCTCGCTTCGCCCTGACGAGTCCCCAAAACCGTCACTGGCAAACCCGTTTGAGGACGACGCCACCAACCCCTTCCACCAGGACAACTCGGGGCGGCGACATGGAGCCAAGCCAGTCGCCAGCAGCAGCAGCAACCCCTTCGAGGTGGACGACAATGGTGATGATGGGCGCGATGGCGCTGGTAACGTCGGCGCCATCGACCCCGAGCTGCTGCGCCAGCAGATCGACAACATCCGGGCGTTCATCTTTGACGCCAAACGCGGCGGGCGCTCCGAGGAGGTGGCCGCGCTCACGCAAAACCTGCGCGAGCTCCAGCAGGCTCTGGTTCTCTCCTCTCGCCGGATGCCATCGGTGGCGCCGCGGGGGACCCTGCCCTGACCGACCAACGGTGCCACTCCGTTCTAGCCACTGCCCGTCCGGTCGGGCGGATTCCATCATTTTCTGTCAAGGGCTTAAGTGCACTCGGGTGGCAAATGTTGGATGTCTGACCAGGACGCCGATGGGGGGGGTGTCCGATCGCCGTTTTGGTGTTCCACTTAACACGGCCCGTGGGAAAGCTGCCACTTTCCAATCTGGCACCTGGACGTCCGCTGGCATCCCGCCACGCCGGCCGGTACGGTGGAGTGGAGACAACGCTGGTTTTATTGCGGTAGGCGCTTGGCTAAGTTTAGTTTTTTTTGCGATATGAGAATGCCAAGTTTGGCCTTAGGCTGGCTTTTTGGACTTGATTGCCTGGCTTGTTTCATGGGGTGGCGTAACATTCCCATCGAGCGGAACCCATCTAAGCTAAGCAATTTGATGCCGGGAATGTAACATTAACGATTGTGATGTTACCGTCTGGAACCATGCGTTACCGTTGTGTTTTATCGCCAGGGCTCAGTATTTTCCGGGTCGCTAGTAGAGACTTGGAGTAGGTGCCACATGACTGGTAACCACCACAGCCATTGAGTGGTAAATACTGGATGTGTGGTGTGCTAGATGTGGAAATATTTTGCGAGTGGCCGACTCGGATAGAGTCGCCCTGTCGTGGTAGCACAGCGAGTTGGGTTGATTCTGAACTGGGCGACGTGGGATGTTGGGGTCACCCGTTAGCGTCTGGGAAGAGTGAAGTGTCAGGTTTACACGAGTCACCATTAACGTTTACCTCTCTTTCCACTGCACAACCGAGCTGCATCGGGAGCTGTGCCAAGCCAGCCCAGCGCGGCTCAGGAGGGTGCCAGGTTGCGTTGCCACTGCCGAAGCCACTGGACATCTTCGCTTGAAATGACGAAAACTATCACCCCGGACCGTGGCCATGTTGGGGCCCCGAGGCAGTTTCAGGCGTCTTCCTGTGAGGTCAAAATTTTCTCGTTTGGTTCTGGTTCGGCTTGGGAAATAGCCACTTGGGAAAACGGCGTGTGCCGACAGGCCTGCGCTTTGGCGCACCAGTGTAAAAGGGGCATTTGAGGCCTAGGCATTCCAAACGACCATTTATTATTTCACGGTTGCCTGTCATACCCGTCCGCTTTGCACGCTAGTTGATGATGACGACGATGCGCAGTGTCGGAAACCTGCGCTGTGAAGTGGGATGGGAACTGGGGTTTGATGAGCCGGTCTGTGTGACCCGCCATTGGTTCAGCTCCCTGTTATTACTAACCTGGGCTCTCCAATTCGTAAAGTAGTCCGTGACTATCGATTATCGGCTCCGTTACTCAACTGATCCGATAACACGAAAACACTTGGGGAAATAATGTCGCTTATGTCGTGTGCCGGTGGACGGGAGGTTTCACTCTGCCACTCACGGTTAGCGTGGCTCGGAGTGGATTTCTCGCCCTGGGGTGGCCACGAAGGACTCGTCGATAACGATTTCCATCGGTTTAAGCAACGCGAGCGACTCGTCGTCCCAGCGCGCATAACGACCCTTGGCAAGATTGACAACGATGTGCGGGCCGTGGCTTAACTTGCGTGCAAATATAGAGCTCGGTCATCGCGGAGGTGGATCGTGGCGGCTCGCGGGGACTGGGGAGTTCGCCCCGGTCTGGTTGATGCCGTAGCGCGAGTCGCTCGACGCTTTGCGCCAGACGCCGGTGCGAACAAGTGCACGCCTGGGATGCGAAGCCGCGTGTCAGCACAGCACGTGGTGCTGCATATTGTCCCTGTATATTGACTAAACGCGGCTTGGACCGCGGTGAAATTAGCGTACAGTCGGAATAAGCTAAACGGGTAGGATCCTTTCCACAGTGGTCGTAACCACGACACTACTGTAAATGTGCGGTCAGGTGCTCCGCAGATTGTTACATCGCAGACTTTTTAAGAGGTGGCGACAGCTTGAGGAGGCCTTCATCCAGAAGTGGATTGACCATGGCTGATGATTACCGCGATTGGAGCCACACATCCAAGTTTCTGGCCACAGATGTAATAATCGCAACGCGACTCGACGCGCTTTTAGGCGACAACACGCAGAGGGCGGTGGCAGCGTTCAGTAGTGGGTTGTCAGCCTGCACGCACTTCTGTCTGGTGCTGATGATGAGTGACTGCAGTAATTCATATTCTTAGTTCTTTACCAAAAGAACTAAGAATATGAGTGCAACTTAATTTACAGAGCGTGTTAGAATTGGCCAGTCGTGGTTCTTATTGGATTGAATAGCATTTAGGAAAGCGGTAAGTTACTTGAATAAAAAATATACGGTAGTCATTTGAACCCCGGGGTACAAATTCTACTGTGACAATGACTCCCCCCCCCCATCCCTGAGATCACAATACTAATATACTATTTTAACCTTGGGGTAGCAGAATTGGGGTTAAGATTCAGGGTTCTGATCTCCTGCGGTCAGTAACAGCTTCGGCTAGCACATGGGCGGGGGTTCAAAATAGTACACGACGGTGCCACCGTTCGAGAAGGCTCCGTCGCACAAGTGCCCGCTGCCTTTATTCACGTGCGTCCACCGCGTCCGGAACCCCCTCCCTCCAACGTAACGCTAACGCTGCGGCCGCCACTCGGTAGCGCCGTTCGAGGTGTCGCCTCTAAAGTATTACACTGCCTGTGAATTTAATTTAGTTTCCCAACACTAACCCTCGTGCGTGCGACGGACGTTGTGCGCTGCGAACCCGCCTGCTGCTGTTCTGGTTCGGGGAAGGCCCACTCTGGTTTCTGTGACCCGTGGATTTTGAAGGTGAAGTTTATTATTCATTCCGTTACCCAGGAGTCGCCCAGACGATCGCCATGTTTCCTGATTTACGTGATCGGGAGTACATTTTCAAATGTGTCAAATTTGGACCGTGCCGCTGGCCACACGTGGCCTACGGCTCTTTCGAAGCGCATCGCGGCATCGACAGCGTCCACTGTGAAGCGGACGGTGCGCAGTATCGTTACGGTTAATGCAACCGCAGCGTTAACTGGGACGGCAACAAAGAGGCGGCTGCGTCGCCGGGGGCAGAAGCGAGTCGTGGAATCCGCCCATCCCCGCCATGCCGCACCCAGTTGAGAATCCGAGATCCCGAGCGACAGCTGTTCTCCCCCATGATCGGAACACTCGATTATCCATCCCGTTTACACTGCCTTGTATCGTTGCGTCTCGCTCCGTTCTAAATTCCGTTGGCGTATAATCTTCATCAGTCGTAAAATCGCTTGGTTCTTGCAGATGCGATTCGGTGCCTGCACCGTGAGCGCAAGGACCTGCCTGGGCACGGAACAATAGCGCACGACCGGATGCATCGTCGCGATGTGGGGCCACGATTCGTCCCATAATTGTACGCTTCACTTGTGTTGATTTGCTCCATTATCCTAAATGCATAATTTACATAAATCTCACGTTACAAATTCTTACACTTGCATGCGTTGCCAGAGTAATAACCGAATTTATTCTAGATCTGAAGTTTTCGTGACTGCAATGATCCATTCTCTTTGGTTCTTTCGGTAAAATCACGTAGGGAAAAAAAAAAAATAATTGTGTGCCCCCTACTGTGTGCACCAAAAGTTTTTTTTCCCTCCGTGACTTTACCGAAAGAACCAAAGAGAACCGAATTTGCCTGGCTACGAACCAGGCCTGGTCCTGCCCGAGTGCCCACGCTAGAAAAGGAACTGCTGCAGGTTGTTCCTCCCCCTCTAAAAAAACTTTCTCCTGTGGGTATAGTCCATGGTCCAGAGCAGAAATGGGTTTGAAGGCAGCAATACTTTTACTCGACTAATATACAAGCGACATATACAACAAGAACTCGCTCATTGCAATTGGTTATCACGAAGAAATCAGAGCCACTAGAGTGATGCCACAATAGGTGGTACCGGCAAGGGAGGTATCTGCTCTGGGATTGTCCAGCTGCGATGGGAGCTTGGCGTTTATGATGATGTCACTTTACCCCCCAACCCCTCCCTCCAGAAGCTGCCGTCGCTGTCAATCACTCTAAAATTGCACAATTAAACAGGGCGGGAATAAGGAAAGGCGGTGTCCACGTTATTTCTTTGTGCCGTGCTGGGCGTCAGCCGGTGCCAGGATGTGAGTTGGTGTTTCTTCTACTTTATAAAAACCAGAGGGCGCTGGGTGGCTCAGAGGTCAGTGCCGAGCTTGGGTTTGAAGCCCCGACGGAACATTTGGCTGCGCGATCAGTTTGCCTGAATTCCAGCTCTTGAGGCGTACGGTTTGATCACCAAGTAACGTTTCATTACTCTGTATATCAAGACGAGCGGGGTACATTGTGTGCCCCCTACTGTGTGCACAAAAAGCCACGTAAAGGGATCTAAGGTAGCTCTATAGTGTCTGCTTTGTGGGTCGTGCTCTTAACAGGGTTACCTCTGCCCTGCATGAGATGCCGATGGATTCGTCACCTCGTGGCACAATACCGACACCGTAATCGCAAGGTAAAAACCGGTGCAACCATGGCCCCCGTTATGAATAACGGCCTCTGAAGTAAACATCACAGAACGACTCCTGAGATCCCTTCGGTCACCTCTTGTCCACAGTCGGGGAATGGTGTGCCACGTTCTCACAGTCTGTGCTATCGAGATGTTGCTTGGCAATCAAAATCAATGCATTTAAATTCCCATAACTAGAAGTTTGCAAATTAAGTGAATTCATTTTGAAGGGGCATTGGCTGCGGTGTGGATTATAACCGAGTTGACTGACTGGGTGCCCTGGAGTTGGAGCATTCCCGCCACTCTGTGCTGCCACCCTGTGCCAGTGGTTTACTGTGTGGGGAACAGACCACTATGATTTAAGTTGGCATTGCCAACCCAGGCAATGTGTTTATTAAACGCTCACCAGAAGCGGTTATGGTTAATGTCGTTGCACAATAAACATAAAGTACAAACATGAAAAACCTAACGCACAGCTCCGATTCCTCTCGTGTACAGCGCAGTGCGTAGTTCCACAGATTTCAGAGTGGCGTTCATTCCGGGATTTTGAGTTAACGGCAAGAGAGGTGGGAAACCAACAGCCCAATGAGCAGATGGATACGACCCACGGCTTCATTTCACACGGGCCACGGCCACTTTTAAGAGGGCCCATGAACGACAACGATCCATTGCTGCACGCATCTTCGCTGCACTAATCGGGTACTGGAGGGGAAGATTGTTTTACCTCGCAAAACCGCTGTGTTTCCCGCATTCAATCTTTCCTTCTGTCACTGCAAGGGCCTCTTCACCACACTGACCAGCGTGAAGTACGGTCAAGCAACCCGTCGTGGCCCACAGGGCGTGGAGAGGCCCTCATCCAGCAGTGGACTGACAAAAGGGGCCACGTTACACGTGAAGCGAGTAGTGAGGCAGGGGAGAGAGGGGTGCCATCGTCCATCCAGTTTCGCCGACATCGCCCGCGCCACACCCGCTGCCCCTGTGCCCGCGTGGTCATTGCTGCTGCCCCGGTGTCCGCCCGTCGTCTACGCAGTGTCCTCCATTTTGGCGTTGCGGTATTTGCCGCGCATCTCCTTGGGCAGCGGCACAATGGCCGGACAGGGCACCTGACCCTCGACCTCGCACAGGCACTTGCGCTCGTAGCGAGCGTTGCGGCCAAAGTTGGCGGGGTTGGACAGCACGAGGCGCGCGCGTTCGTCCTCCGCCAACTGCTCCCTGTGGGATGGCAACATTCGTCATCGTTATCGTCACACTGGTGATTCACTTTGTGATCGTTATCATAAGCAGCGTTACAATCAGCATGACCGTCGTAATCACCAAGTTCATCGTGGTCATTGGTCGTGTTTTGGGTCAGTGGCCTTCACGTTGGTGATGTCGTACATGTACAGTCCTTTTGTCATCGTCGTAACTGTCAGCAGTGGCAGCATCGTGCTCATAATTTTCAATCGCCATCATTGTCATCACCGTGACCGTCGAACAGAGGAGATACTCACGGGGACTTTCCCATGAGCTTCTTGACGTGCGCCGTGATCTCCTGGTTCGTTTTGTCCTCCACGTCCACCAGGATCTGCTCTCCGGTGTCTACTCGCACCGCGCATAACCACACCGCCAAAGCCAGCGTAACCGAGTCAGCGGTGCACAACTTTCACCGGCAGCTGACCGTGGGCAAACACGAGACAATAATGGTGCTGTCGGAATGCAAACTCTCCCCGTTTTTCTAAGTAAAATGGTATTTAAAAAAAAATCATATTATTGACTATATGCTAGCGATGCTCCAGTTCTGCATGTACCTAGTATTGGCCAAACATGTCCCTGCAAATGACTCAATTGGGATCACACAGCAGCAGCAGCAGCATCATCGCCGCCTACTACGGTAACTTGGTAGGCCCATCATGATAAAGCGTCATTAGACTCAGGAAACGAACGGGAATCGTATTTAAAAAAATATATTCAAGGAGCGCGAAAGATGGCAAAGGCTTGGGGAGGACTTAATCCGGCAGTGCCGGGAGTCGGCAACCAAAATAACAAAGAAATGTTTTTTCCTAATTCGGTAAAAACAAAAAATGTCAACAGCCTCAACGCACGTGAATAACGTCACGAAGCAGTCCTCTAGGAGCCGGACGCGGCTCCGGAGCAGCAGGTCGCCGACCCCTGACCATGGCCGATGAGTGAATGATGCCGATGAAGGAGCCCCGATTTCAGCCGTTCGTCACTCATTTCCAGAGAGGGGCCACTATCGCCGACAAGACATCGTCAACGGGCTTGACAGCACGCCGGGATGTTGTCACATTTGTGTATTGTCGGGGGCCGCACTGAAAGACCACCAGGGGCCAGAATTTGAATATTTATACTGGAGAAATCCGATGAGCTACGAAGCTCTTTTTCCCCACAAATGCCCAGTCGGGGCGGGTAAGAACGTTACAACAAAACAAAAACACAACAGTAGTGCAATGTGCAAGGTAAACAAATCACCCCCCCCACCCCAAAAAAAACCATGCAAATAAAACTAAACCATCCCCATCCGATCAGGCAAAGCCCACCGAGCTGTGAACTTATATATATTGTTTTCCTTCAAAAGCGGGCCTTGCAACGAAGAGCCACTGGCCCCGAGTGTGGGAATCTCCGCTCTCGTGCAGCGGGTGGCGCTGTGCGCGCACCCAGGTAGAAGCGTAGGAAGGGCGAGGGGGTCACGTTCTTGAACGCCACGATCTGCACCCACGGGTTCTTGAACTGGATTTGCGGCACCGTAAAGAACACGAACTTCCTGCGAGACACGGGGGCACACCTGCGTTAGTGGCGGGGGAAGGTGGGGGCAGAGCTTGGCCCCATCATCCAGCAGCGGAGAGAGCCTCGCTTTGGGTTCTCGTCCTGCAGCACGTGCGGCGCGTGCGCGCGAGGTCGCCCCCCCCCCAGCCAATCGCGACGCGCCTCGCGTTCCACGTGACAGCTCGGGGACCAATGAGGGCGTCGTCCCGACTACGCGATCCCGCAGCTCCTTACCCCCCCCTTCCAACCCGTCACGTGCACACAACACGAAGTTCGTTTTACGCATCCCGTCAGCCGCGCCGCCTCGCCCTGGCAGTCCATCGTTTCGGCAGCATTGGCGCAGGGCAAGAAAACAAAACCCGTGAACCGGTGTCGACATTCAGTGTCGGATCAGCAGAGTCGGGCGTTTCTCTCCCCATGTCTCTATGAGAGAGAGAGACAGAACGTGGGGAGAGCTCCGAGTTCCTCGCAGAGAGCGCGCGCGAGAGAGCTCACAAACAAGAGCGAAGCGACATCGCGCGCGAGAGAGCTCAAACAAGAGCGAAGCGACATCGCGCGCGTTCCACGTCGCAGGCGGCTTGCAGGGGACCGCACCTGGTGCCGTCGCTGCGGGTGCCGCTCGTGTTGTAGTTGATGGTCATGATCTTGACGGCGCTGCGGAAGATCACCTCGCCCCGCTGGAGGTAGTCGAGCGTGCGGCGCACGGCCGCGCGGCCTTTCATGAGCGGCATGGCGACCCACCCCGCCTGCTGCCCCACAGCCTCTGCGCTTTACGGCAGCGGTCGCGCTTTACGGCGTCGATTTTTACGACGGCAACTTTGCGTCGACACTTTTACGACGGCAACTTTACGACGGCTCCGACAACCTTTACGGCAGAAACTTTACGTCGCCGCTTTTACGACGGAAACTTTACGTCGATACTTTTACCACGGCAACTTTACGACGGCTCCGACAACCTTTACAGCAGAAACTTTACGTCGACACTTTTACGACGGCAACTTTACGACGGCTCTGACAACCTTTACGGCAGAAACTTTACGTCGACACCTTTACGACGGCAACTTTACGACGGTTCCGGCAACCTTTACGGCAGAAACTTTACGTCGCCGCTTTTACGACGGCAACTTTACGTCGACACCTTTACGACGGCTCCGACAACCTTTAAGGCAGAAACTTTACGTCGCCGATTTTACGACGGCAACTTTGCGGCTCCGCTTTTTACGACGGCCTGGACTCTTTTACGACGGCAACTTTACGGCGCCGTTTGGTCACTTTCAGGAGGGATCAATCCGATGGTCTGTAAAGCGCTTTGTCACAGGGCCGTGATAACCAACAATAACAATACAACAACAAAATACACGGCAGGAGTGCAAAGCACTAAGAGTAAACAAATCACTTAACACAAATATACAAATACAACTAGACTCTTCATAATAAAGTTGTTTTGGGTTAGTGTAAATGTTGTGTCGTAACACCCTCCACCACCCGACACAGCCAGGAAGGTTTGTCGCGTAAACAAAACGCGCCAATTAGTAACGAGTATAGCGTATTCTTGGTTCTTTCGGTAAAGTCACGTAGAAGAGAAACTATAAAATAATAAAAATATAAAACAATATGTTGTTTATAAATATATATAATATAAAACAATTCAATTGTATTGTTTATTATTTTATTGTTTCCCTTCTACGTGACTTTACCGAAAGAACCAAGAATATGAATCCCTGCAGTCACGAAAGCTTTAAATCAAAAAGAGTATAGCGTAGTGTGTAGTGTAGTGTATAGTGTAATGTATAGTGTAGTGTGTAGTGTATAGCGTAGTGTATAGC